GATGAACGGTGCAGGAATTACAAGTTTGCATATGTGCCTCCCTCTCACTTGTACCCTTTGATTAGAGCAATGGTTCTCAAAGTGGGGGTCGGGACCCCCCGAGGGGTCGCGGGACAATGAAGGGGGGGGTCGCCTGGTGGTTTCCAAAAATCTATTTATTTTTATTAAGCCATAAGAATTACCATATTTTATCCATAACCTACTGAAGAGGAAAAAATAGTCGTTTATACCATATATAGTTACTATAGTAGCTTATAGTTATTACTTCTATTGGATTGCAACCCCTGCGGTAATTACATTGTATTAAAGACACAGCAATAGCGTCAGATGCAGCAGATTTCATAACACCTGGTTAAACTTTGTGGCCCATTTACAGCTCTCATACATTAAAAAAATTAAAAGAAGAATAGACTTGGGTCCATTGGTGTGTGTGCACCATTGCATGCAAGGTTTCTGTATTTATAACAACCTCAGAGGATATTGGGGGTCGCGAGTCACTAGCATTGTCATTTTGGGGGTCGCGGCCTGAAAAGTTTGGGAACCCCTGGATTACAGCACATTGGCTTGTGTTGGTGCAGAGAGGAAAATGTTAGAACTGTGTCCCAGTGTTTATGGTCCTGACTGTATATAAAGAAAAACAAAACTATATTACATTAAGGTTGCTATGGGTAATTTCCTTATTTATTTTGTAATGACTTTAAATCATATTAGCTAATGTAGTATAACTTTTCAAATGTTAACCTATTACAATAAAAGCATAAACAATCACATTTATAAAGCAACGGAGATCAGGTACACTCGTCAAGCAGAATCTGCCTTGATTTGCTCACCAAAGTCAGGTGACCGTATGTACATTTAAATGAAATGTCATTCATTTGCAGCATTTAATAGAAACATTTCATTTGAGTCAGTTTTAAACAATAAACAAACAAAGGAAAGGTTAGAGTAGATTTGAAATGACAATCTCTAAAGCATCCCTTTCATTCTTGCTCTTCTTGCTTGGTGGACCAAATCAAAGGTTGCCACGGGCCTGGTTTGAAGCTCTGATTTAGATTCATTGTTATTTTCTTAATAAAATGACAATTTCTTTGTGTAGTTTGAAATAAATGACCTTTACAGAATCATAAACAGATGAACATTCCACTCAAACTCAGCTAGTATATCCAGCACATTCTGAGAATTTTCAAGTGGTCTTTAATTACTAGCCATATCTGTATATTCTCTCCGAGATGCATCGATTTACCAGACAATAATCATATTGGATGATTAACGAACAACTATTTGCATTACCACAATTATTTCAAATCAGTCAGTTATCAGAACCAGTTGAATTGATCATGTTTGGATTAAGAAAATTGAATAATCAGAGGTTAGTTTAGAGTAAACTGTTGTAGACCATTTCAATGTGGTCTTGTCATTGGTCCATTGGAACATTTCCTGCTTGAGCCAAACTATTTCATAACTGTAACAAGAGGCAATTTAATTATAACTAAATGTTAAAACGGCTATATCATAACATTTATCAATATGTGGCTCTTTTTGAATGCTCTGAAGCGTTTGAAATTAAAAATGTAAAACAGGATATACGTTGGGACCGTTGTTTTTTGTTTACGTCCATCAAAATGGTCTATTTTTTGTCATGGTTTTTCATTCTGTCAAAATTGTGGGGATATTTCATTTCAGAGTAAGGCCAGATATCACTCTGAATAACTTTTTATTCTTTTATTTAATATGGTATCAGTGCATCTCTATATTTTATATGGGCTTTGTGTTCATTGAACTCAAACATATGTTGACTATGCTGAGACACACTTTGTGCCTTTGATTAGAGAAGAATTTATGCATTGGACAATTTCAAGAAAAACATTGCAGGTTTGAAGTCAGGGAAATGACCATATTTCACTTTTTGGAAAGGGAGGTGGTCTTATTAAAGGTTGCATGCTGACAATCAACAAGTAGACTATCTGTTACACAATAGAGTGACTTGAAAGCAGCTCTCAGTTTGAGTCCCTGTTGAGTTCATAGAGGTTTAAAATTGTTATTATTATTATTTTTGCTTAGTTTTTTTCCCTGTGTGGACAGAACCCCATCGAGCTTTGCTCAGTTCTTCACACACTGCCAGAGCAGACATGGGTTCAGACTAATTCAGACACATTTGTGGATCGGCTTCTTGCCTTAAAGCAATTCACTTAATACATTGTTGTTTCTTTTTTCAGTCTTTGAGACATACAGTACAGCAGTAACTATGACTGTTAACTATGTTTGGAAAAAAAAAACCTGCTATGCACTATAAACCTGCCTTCTGCCTTTAAAAGAGAAAAGAGAAAAGACAAAAAAAAAAAAAAAAAACCTTGATGCCTCTAGACTAGATGCTGTAGAGATGCTTCTCCATGTAGACTATAGTTTGCCAGACAGGAGTTTGTGTGTGTGTGTGTGTTGATGCACACAGCAAAGCGTCTTAACCGTTTGTTTGTTTGTTTGTTTGTTTGTGCGGATGTGCTTTTGTCCGTTTGTAAACAGTGAACTGTAGATATTTGTTTGGAATTTCTTGAAGAACCTCTTTGAATTTGAATGGTGTAAAAGCACACTGATATACATTAGGCTATGCAAGGACAGGAAATACATGATGGTTTGACATTTGCAAACATACAAAAACCAGGTTTGTTTGATACATCTATAAAGTATGTAAGTATATATTTGGTTGTATGTAAAACCCTTACGTATAGTGACCGCTGTTTTCAATGCCACTTTTGACTATTTAATTGAAACTATCAGACATACGGTAGGAAAGCCTTAACTTGTGTTTTTGAAAAATAATGTAGAGAATGTGTGTCATAAGTTTGAGTTGGATTTAGGAATAGTTTTTTTTTTTTTTTTTGTGAATCAAGACAGCAAAACAAGCAAAATAAACAAATTTTTTAAAAATCTGATGTGAGTTCTGGGATGGATCCCTAAATAAGCACCTATTTTCATTCTCCAGAAACCAAAGATTGAACAATGTGTTCCCCTTTTACATGGAGACGACGACGCCGCCGACACCAGAACTCTATTTTTGATACTTGGATGTCATTCCTTTTTGGGTAGCTTGGATGGTTTGTAAAATAAATAAAAGTACAGGTTCAGCTGATGTTTACGGAGCCTTGTATTGTTGTTTCATGTACATTTTGTATTTAACATTTTGTAATTTTTAAGACTGCAGTGCTTTTTGAACTTATTCAAAGGGAACAGCGTGCGGCGTAGACTCTTCTGAGGTAGTGTATCAATAAAAAGAATAAATGCCCAAACGTCTCTCCCTCTGTCAGTCTGTCTGTGTGTTTTATGACAGGAAATTATGTGTGATTGGTCTGTGTTTTACCTTAGGATAATGTCAAAGATATGGAAAACAGGACGCCATAATGGGAACTAAAGAATCCTTTTAAAACGGTACTACTTTACTGATCATGCTGTATAACATTTGAATGTCAACTTTGATACTCGAGGCTCTTTACAGAATTTTTGAATGCTCAATTCTGATTGGCTGATGAGCAAACAATAAAATGGGCAAAGGGTCATATTAAACAAGAGGGTAAAACACTAACCATTTCCAAAAGTTAAGTTAAAGACAACACTTTCTCCACTCTATACAGGTGCACACACACACTCATACAAAACCATGCCGTTGTCATCAGAGTTGTTCTGACAATAAAATAAAATCAGGTTACAACTTAATTTATACAATTTGTAATGATTCAATCGGTTTAATTTCTTCAAGTTGAAATGACTTGTAAAGCTAATTTGATTCTGATCTATTTAATGCATAATTAAACAGTGAATAAATGTTAGATTAAGCTTAGATTGTTATTAGTAGAGGCATTGTTGACAGATGCTCAGATTTTAGTCATTCACATATGCTTAATAAGCCTCTAACTGTATTAATAACTGCAATATTCTGCATATGAGTGGAATCACCAGTGCACTATTTTCTGCTAACTCAGTGACCCATCATCAGTAATTGTATGTTGAAGGCTCAGCTCTCTAGTTCATCTTATGGTAACAAAAGGATTGAAGCTCAATTTGCCACATCCCTTAAGACCCGCAAAACAACCCTTCATGAAAAACAAATCATAATAATAATAATAATTAAAAAATAATAATTACATGAAAATTATAAAAAATGTTTTACAATTCACCTTTCATATCAGCTTAATGTGTATTTATATTGACTGGCCTATCAAACAATCAGTGGTGAAAAGAGTACTAAAAAAATCATACTTGCATAAGAGTTTTGGGCAAGCACTGGCAGTTTACTGGGGTAAAAATATCTGTTTTAAAGTCTTAAAGTATTAGTATAAAGTAACATTACGCTGTAAAATGTATTTCACTTAATGCTGCTTATAGGAGCTTTCATTTTCTAAGTGTAAGATTATTTGTGTGCTATTCATTGACTACATGTAAAATGTTCTTATGTAAATTAAGCTAACAATCTTTAAGATGCGCACCAATAATAACAATGCAGTAAAAGTGCATACCCCCTTTTGGATTTACAAGTATGGCACGTATGAAGTTATTAAAACGTGCCCCACTAACATATTTGAGATTGGACTATGTTGTCTTGCAGTTGCATTTTTCACAGAGTACATATTTGTCAGTTCTCAAAAATACTGTCCAGGGCAGATATGTCCAATGAGTCTAGGCTGCATAATAAGCAGACAGAAAGTAGAATGATGCTTATACATGCGGAGTCAAATCTATGTAGCCTAAATAGCAAAAATCTGTCTAATTATTTTGCACACTGTAAAAAATGTAGGGTTCCACACAATCCCTTCAGGATTCAGGTCTTCCCAACGCAATTCAAGGAATACAGTAATAAAAAGAGTCAGGTCAAAGTACACTAACTACTTAGTAAAAATAAGTAAAAAGAAAAAGTTTTCCTGGAAAGGCTATAATTTGTTACTTTAGACTACTACAAGTTTTGACAGTTTGTCCAAGAGATTTGACATCACTACTTTGACATGCTGTTGTCAGAGCAAAATCAATTTATTTGTTGCATATAAGAGTCACATTTACACATTCATACACATTTCATACATAGCAGGGAAACAAAATGTCCCTTCTTTCACTAGAGAGGTGTGATATTTTGTTCAGCCTGTATTGCACTCCAGGTAAATGTAGTCACAAAGAAAAAAAAAAAAAACAATAATAATATTAATAATAAAGCTCATGATTTAATCAGTCTGTCATCAATAAAAGAAGTGATGTAGACCACATATCCAAAATCTTTGCAAAGTCCAAAACAAGGTAAGAGCACAGCGCCGTTCAGTCTTCACATAAACTGATGGGTCAGACTGAAGCAACAAAACACACACCTCTTACGTTCCTCTAAAGAATGAGCGTTAAAGCACGGCGGTCACACGAACAACTCATCTTTTGCTTTAAATAAAAATATTTCACTTCGCCCCCCTCCCCGAATGGATTAAACTAAAAAAATCAGTTCATGCAAGTCTACGAAGTACATACTTGGTCTGATCTCTATTAAATAAGGCATATGTTCAGCAGTACACTGGGGGAAAAAAAACATCACACCTTTTGAAATCCTACTGTATGTGCAGCATAACAGTCCGATCAACAATATATTTGGCTTTTTACAATCTCACAACATTCCTTTATCCGTAACGGCAAAAAAAACAATGTATTGCATTGCGGTTTGGTTTCCTAGTGCACGGCAAAGACTGCAGTCAAGCCCGACTGTCTTACCAACAAGAAAACCTCTTATTCCACAAAACAATGGCTTGCGAGGGTTACAGGCTAGCAGAAAAGATCTTGACATTACCAGAGAGAGTTGAGCATGGAATTGTCCCTCACAGACACACAGAGAGAGGAGCGGTGAGGCAGTGCTACTGAGATGTTTAGCTTTTGTTTGTGTATATATGAACGTACATATACACAGTGCTTCTGCATCAGGTCTCCTTCTGAACTACTGGATATCAAGATCAGCAGTTTCTGAGGGAGAAAGGGTTGAGACTCATCTTCACTCGCAGCAGGCCAGGTGGATGGGGTGTCCAGAGAGGGGGATGTTGGAGCATTCGGCTACAGCCCGTCTTGCTGCTTTCTCACTGGGGAAGGTCACCAGCGCCTCCCCGCTGCGCTGACCACTCCAGTTATACAGCACGAGCACCGAGTCCGCCTGGAGCTACAACAACAACAACAAAAATAATGAGGAGGACTTTATATGCTCCTACAAGAGCTCGCTTCAGCCACAGGATTTAAAAAAATTAAGAATATGATTTAAAAAGGTAATAATAACTTTGTCTCAAAATTGTAACTTGAAATCTCAGAATAGCAATTTATAAACCAATTTAAAAGAGATAATAAGAATTGGACTATTTCTTAATTCTCAATATTACATCACAAGTAATCAATGTTACTTGAACATTACAAGTACTGTAATCCAAGTATTACAAAAAAATCTGAACTGCAACATTTAAATGGTTAATATTTCTTGTCTATTGAAGTCTCTCAACTCTGACTTTTTGCATTTTAGGAGCATCCTATTCTACTTTATTCCTCACATTTTGTGGACTATATGACCTTGTGTGGAGATGGTTTTGGTCCCCATGCAGGAAAAGGGTTTATAAAATTACAAATTAAGTATTTTAAAAACATTTTTAAAAAATGCTGATTGTTTCCTGTGAGGATTCGTGTTCAGGGAAGGGGAATAAAATATACACTACGTGACAAAAGTCTTGTCACCAATCTAAGATTTAGGAACTACAACTAATAACTTGACTTCTAGTTGATCATTTGGTATCTGAAGTGGCTTATATGAAAGGCAAAAGAATCAAGATTACTTTAACTTTAGATTATTTTACCAAAATAAAATATGATCATGCCTCGACTTTTGACTGTTTAATTAGGACAGTAAGGTCTGACTTTGCTTAGACAAAAATCTTGTAACTTAATAGAAAAAATGTCCAGAATAGAATATAAAGGCATGGTGCAGTGGGGAAAAAAGATTGGAGGACTAAATCCATAAATCTCTGCAATGAATCGAATAATTTATCAATAAAGTCATCTGGAATGGCAAAGAAAGCGTTGTTGCAAGACTCCCAGAGTTCATCAAGATTATTTGGATTCATCTTCAATGCCTCCTCCATCTTACCCCAGATTTGCTCAATAATGTTTATGCCTGGTGACTGGACAGGCCAATTCTGTTAGCGCGCCACTTCAAAGTTCCTGAAAGCAAAGGTCAAGGTGTTCCAGAAGTTTGAGAAGGAGAGCTATCCTGCTGAACAATTGGCCCTCTCCTGTGGTTTGTAATGTAATAGGCAGCACAAATGTCTTGATACCTCAGGATGTTGATGTTGCCATCTACTCTGAAGATCTCTGGCATGCCCTCATACTGAAATGTAACCCCAAACCATGGTTTTTCCTTCACCAAACCTGACAGATTTTTTTGAGAATATTGGGTTCATGTGGGTTTTAACAGGCCTTTTGCAGTATTTGTGATGATTAAGATGCAGTTCAACAGACGATTCATTGAATAAATCTACGATCTTGCACTTTTCCAAATGATCAACTAGAAGTCAAATTATTGTTTGTTGCTCTGTGATCAACAACAAGACTTTAATCAGATAGTGTACACTTTGGAGTATATGTATTTGGAGAGATAAACTAGCGATTCATGAGTTTATATCTTGACTTATCTAATCTGCAGAATAAAAGATAAGAGATAGAGATGTTTTTATTGCAGAAAAAGTTCATATTTGTAGTTTTATTCTATTTTTCAATTATCAGAGTTAATAGGTTATATCTCCCATAACTAACTTTCAGCATTTTAGGAATTGCAAGAAACCCAAAACTTGCCAGATAAACTTGAAATTGTGCAAAATAAAGTCAGTATTATGAGAGAGGTCCTATTTAGCTTGAAATATTTTCAAATTCTGTGGTGAAAATGAGCTTTCATATATTCCAGTGGTGGCCCTATATAGATAAGAATATGAATGAATAATAATAAGTCACCACCGGAATACATCACAATCAGGTCAATAAAAGTCAAGATCCATCCACCTGCACACACAGAGAGCAGCTAAGGAGAGAAACGGATTTGATTTTGAATTATTCATTTTGCATGAAGCCAGGACACACAATAAATACCAAGTCGGTCAAATCAGCTGAAAAGGAATGAGAGAATATATTAGCACAGCCACTATAGAGTAGAACCATTCAAAAGGAGACCCTCGCAAAGACAGAAGACTTCTAGAACGCAAGGAATACATAAACAAGACATTCAAAACCCAAAGCAATTAGTCAAATCAGAGAGAAGCATTATTAATATTATTATTATTACAGCAAGTTTAAAACAGGATGATTAAAGCATTCTGAGACTAATCATCCAAGAAGCAGAGAGTGAAGATCTAGGAATCAGAAGAAAAGAAAGAGCGTTACTGGATTAGTCCATGCACAAGCCATGGCTTCAGGTCACACAGATGCATCGAGGGAGCTTACCTGGAGCGGCTCCCCCTACAGACAAAGCCACTCTTTAGGCTGAATGAAACTCCGGCCCTGATCACTCACTCCAACCAAGGAGCTGTAGTCTTCAGGATTGAGCTACAGCACAATGAGCCACAGTCAGTCCACAAAGCTCAACATTCAGCACTGCTCTCATATACACATCAGCTGCTGAGCACTTCACAGAGCACACTTCTCATAGAGGGGTGAGAACATGTGCCAATGACAATTCTTCCAATTCACCTCAAGTTGTTTGAAATAAATTAATACTCTGATTTGAAATGGACTTTATAAGTGTTCTTTTGAACATATCATTATTAAAATAATTCTGAAATCAAATATTAAGCAGCACACTGGTTTTCAAACACTGTGCAACCTGTAGAAACCCTGTGGTCAAGAAACAATATTATCGTTTATTTAAGACCTCAATTTAAGACCTTGTTAAGACCATTATAAATAAAGTTTCAGACTTATACAGATCTAAAGGCTAAGAATTGTTTTTTTAATGGCCTGGTTGTAGAAAATATTTTTACATTTTAGAATTTAATAACTGAACAAACACAGTGCTCATTTCAGAAGAAATGTATAGTTTTTTGCATCTGAACTCTTTAATTGTTCTTCTAAAGTAAGCATTTTTCTCAGCCTCCTGTTCAGTCATATAAATATAAAGGAAAGAACAATGTTCAAATCACAATAAAAGTGAAAATTACTGAAACTACGGAATTCTGAAAAAAAAAAAAAATGCTCATTTTAGTAAGAAAATTTCAGATAGCAGGCGTTTGCGTTTGGACACCATATATAAAGTTAGAGACAAAATTATTCTTACTTTACAATACAATTATTACTTTTTTTGTCAAATAGTTTTCAAGTTTGAAAGACAAGATTAACATTTTAATTTAATAGTTTTAGTAACTAATTTCTCATTTTCTTTTGTCTTTGACGTGATTGATTGTGCATAACATTTCTCTAGTTAGTATTTAGCTTAAGTGCAATTTAAAGACTTAATTATGTTTAACAGTGTTTACAACCATTCTGATGCTGTTTAATAAAAATGTCAGAACTTCCACAAAATATTCATTTATGTTCAAAAGAACAGCATTTATGTGATAAATATTTTGAGACAATACAAGTCAAGTTAAGAATTCATTAAAGAAATTCATATTTTCGTTCATTTTATGTAAAAATTACAATGAGAATATAATTTGAAAAAAAAAGTATTTGTAGTGAATTGTGGAACTTTGGCATCATCAGCACTTCCTGAATCAAATCCTCATCAGAGCACATATTCACACCCTGGGTCTACCATAAGTAGTTAAAAAAAACAATAATAAATGAATGAATAAAAAAATAAAAAGAGTAAAACTAAAATGTAAATGAAGGAAAGAGTAACATGCAAACATAACTATTAAAGACTCATAGGTTAAATATTATGGTTTAACGACCCTTCATTTATACATCATAAATGCATCATAACCCAAGAGGAGACACCAGACCAGTGTTTGCCCAAACATCATCTCTCACTAAAGATAGACAGATAGATACTATAAAGACAGAGATAGATGGAGGGATGGATGGATAAGAGAGAGAGAGAGAGATATAGATAGATGGAGATGGATGATAGATGGCTGAACAAGAGAGAGATGAATGGATGGTAGATGGATAGATGGAGTGAGAGATGATAGAAAGATAGGTTGATAGAGAAGACGTAGAGATATAGATGTAGAGAGAAGATGAAGAGATTGAGAGAGATAGATGGACAGATGAGATAGAGATATGGATAGATAAATGGATAGAGAGAGAGAGAAAGAGAGCGAGAGAGAGGTAGGGACCACCTGCCAAAAAAAACAAACACATCCCGCACACAGAGGCTGTAGTGTGCATTTACTATGAGAGGTTAAAAGCACACTTGGAAGCTGAACTGGGCTCAGATCCATTTCACCGGTTCAGCCAGAAGTCAAAGCTGAACTGCATTTCACACACACGTGCTGCTGCGCTACACTTAGTGAACAGTGTCTCGCACACCGCTCCAATAAAGAGGAGCCCGTACCCACCACACTATATAAAGTACACTAGCACATTTGGAAAACCTCCACAAATATACATCTCTACATTGTGAGAAAGAAAGCACGCACACACACAGAAACCCATGCCCAAAACAAAGCATCCCTCCCTCAGACTTTTATAGCCCTCTTCTCTGAGTGCAGGAATCATACCGTCCTTTGAAGCCTCCGGCTAATAGGGTGTCAGCTAATGAGAGGACAAAACGTACACAAGGATTCAGCATTCAACACTGCTCTAGAACTTTTGTACCACTTTAATATACGCTGTCGTTGTTACGAGTAATTCACAATAATTTATTGTTATTACTATAGAAAGCTCATGCAGCTAACACTAAACTTTCCCTTCTTCCTTAGTTTTATGTAGTAAATAATATTATTAAGATGGATTCATTTCTTGCACACTGAATCCAAAATTCTCACTGCCTCAACTTTTATTGGGCATAACGATGCTAATTAAAACTAATTGAGTTTCATATACTGTTTTTCGCAACTCTAGCAAGCATTTCATAGGTTCATCTCACAATAATAGTACTTTAGCTTTTCTTTATATAGTGTCTTTACATTCTCCATTTTATTTGTTGTGAAGACCAGCGGTGGTCTTTTTTAAAATGTAGCTCCAGAATCACGAGCAAAGCAATAAATTGAGCCACTGAAGAAAACTTTCAATCTTAATAAGGAGCTGAAACTCTCCTTCCTTCTACACAATCTCAGGACTGGGTTGGCCAAATAGGTTCGCTTTTTTGTGTGTGTTTTTAAACAAAGTACAAGAACATCATCCTCAGCCTGAAGAGTCCATTTTATTTACTTATTTATTTATTTTTATAATAAAAATTGCATTTGTTCTTAATATATTGTTATTACACACTAAACTCTGTCTTCAACATTTCTATGTATAACTGTGACATTTTTTAGGATAAAATGAAGACATATGAAATGTTTGACTCAGCGTGCAAGAATCTTAACAGTGGCACATTTAGAAAGAAGAAGTGTAACAATCTTAAGCTGTTTGTTGCTTAGCCATGAGAAATGGGGCCCTAGTAAGGTCTTAGGTGAAAGGAGAACTTTTTTGTTTTTTTTGTTTTTTGAACTTGAGAAGCTGAATGAATGAGTGAGTGAGCAGCAGAAAGTGCAGTCACCTGATATCCCTGAAAGAAGCTGAGGATGTCTTTGACCCCGGCGTTGTACGGCAGGCCCTGCATGCGCACCAGTGCCCCGGGCTGAGGAGGGAGGATGGCAGGGGTGGGCTGAGCTGCTACAGCAGCTGCGACTGAACCCGGTGGCGCTGCAAAATAACTCACAGTGGAGGGAGACACTGGCGGGCTGGAGACAAAATTTAAAAAGATTTACTACCATTGATGGCAACATATTGCATTATGATGTGGATACATATATCCGTTGATTAGTTAGTTATATGACACAATTAGACTTGCAAATGTAGTCTCTTCTGCTCACCAAAGACGCATTTTTTTGTTTAGAAATACAGTAAACTAAAAAATATTAATATTGAATATTTCTTTTTTTTAAATTATTTCCAGTATCAATGATTTTCAAAACACTTAATTATTTTTAAGAACAAATTTTATTATTATCTTAACGCCATGCCAGCTTCTGCAGATTTTGTGGTAAAATTATAGCAGCTTTTTTTTTTTTATACTGAAACTGTACCTTTGAAAAATAATTACTAAGTAAAACGGTTTTAGTGTATTACTGCTAACAACTTTGCAATTGATTCTCATTAACAGCTTACAGCAGAGACACATATAAATATACTAAATATTAGAGTATTATTTAATACTAAATATTTTAACAGTTCTGTCTGGTTCTTGAATCCGACTGGCTGATATCAGTGCAATATTCTGCAATATCAGAACTCGTTCAGCCACTTCACCCGCGTCTATTTCTCCGCCCACATAGAGTGACAGCAGATCAAAAAACTCACTACAGTTTGACAAATATTGCAGCTGTTGGACAACATAAGGTACTTTAAGTAAGAATGTAGTTGTTTAGATTGCAACTATGCCGTTTATTTAAAGGATATTGCTTATTTAAAATGTTTTTTTTTTTTATCATTTTGGATATTGGTGGCCATCAGTCTGAAATACAAAGCAAAACAAAAATGGTTGTGCCACAAGTTACAGATAAAAAATAAAACAAAAACCCAAAATAAGGCCATAGGGAAGAAAAACTCAGCATTTTCTTTTCCTATTTCCTATTATCTAATCATTATAAAAGAGGTAAGTGGCTCTAAATCGAACTCTGTCTTTTGTAGTGCTGTATTTATACCATTACTCTGGTAGTGCTTGCTTTGCTTTGGCTTTTTCCGGTGTTAATTTTTGTGACCCCCGATTGCAACAGGGAAATAGTGGGAAAAAAAAAAAAACAAAACAAAAAAAAAAAACAAAGAGATTTTGCTCAAGTTTTGTCATCACTTCGGACATTCAAACACTAGCTCTAAAGTGATGTTGGTGAATTAGTAATGACTTCTGTTCTGACGTCAGCTGCAGATGTGAATGAATGGCGGAAGAAAGTAGTTCATTGTACAAAATAATTCGAGACTCTGTGTTTGATTATACAAACGATGATGTTAAACTGTTGGATGAACACAATATTACACGCGTAGCAGTGCGAAATGGCTGTATATCATCACTGGTGGGACACTAAGGCACGCATGCCTCCCACCAGTGCCTACAGCCATATCACACTGCTACTCGTATGATATTGCTCATTTAAAAGATGCTTAAATGACAATCTCAGATATGTTACTCCTAACAACAAAACTTAACCAGGTAAAATTACAGCCTTAAAAGGTATCTTTAAATGGCATCAAGTGAATTTAGACAAAAGCTAAAAGGTCTTATTTATCCAATCAAGCCAGCTTGTGTAAGTGTGGTACCTGGGGTAGTAGGTGGTGTAGCTCATATTCATGTTCATGTAGAGCTGTGGAGAATAGTAGGCGAAAGCAGGTGCAGGGCTGTGTGTTGGGGCCTGTGGAGTTCTTGGAGTGGCCAGCAGGGGGGGCTGATACAGCGCTGCCTCAGTGGGAAGCATAGCTGGAGCCGCAGGAAACGCAGCATATGTTGGTGGAGAGAGACCTGAAAGACACAGGATAAAAAAAGTTCTATTATGATGCCCTAGTAAATTTGTTAACTAATGCATCATCACTAAGTAAATTAACTTTTTAGCATTTCCACTTTGTGTGGTTTGGTGAAAATGAGAGGAGCCAACCTTGCTGGAGTGTGTGAATGTCATGTATATTTAGCTGAACTGGCACAGGGACAACCAGTGTCTCCTCTGATGTGGCGTGAGCACATACGGCTAATTCTCAAGCCAAGGTCAAACAACCAGATCAAATAACTAAGCAAACAGCCCCTCCTTTAGTGCTGCAACAGGCTTGCTCTTTCTAAATGCCAAAATGTTGCACCTTTAGATCTGTGACAGAGGTGATCACACTGCTTTCTAGCAGATAATCTGAAACTGAAGCTCAAACAGCCGTGCCAATGGCAGCAGAAGAGTGCAGACTAGAACACAACATACAGATCTGCATCTGACTAGATACCGCTAACGAGCTCATCTTATCATGCGGTTTACTACAAGAATTTGACATTTGAAAAAAGGCTTTACAACCAAGGTTGGATACAGAAACCTGGTGCCCATATGGCACTGGTGCTTCTTTAACTGGTTTGTACTTGAGCCGAACACAGATTTTAGAGCAAACAAGAGTGAAATCTTGCTTGTTTATAAAAAGAAACCGATAGACCACATTTTAAATCAGTGACTTGTGAGTTTTACCGTGAATTGTAATGATTATTAAAACTGCTTAATTTATGCACACAGCTTGATCTTTCCAACCATGCATATGATGGATGAGCAGCTCACATTTGTACTCTGAACAGTTTGTGCACTACCTGGTTTGTCCACAAGATGTTAGTGGTAAAATGGGCCATTGATTAGCTATTACATGATAGACTGTAGGGCAATGCAGTGGCACAGTAGGTAGTGCTGTCGCCTCATAGCAAGAAGGTCGCTGGATTGAGCCTTGGCTGAGTCAGTTGGCAATTCTGTGTGGAGTTCGTGTGGGTTTCCTCTGTATACTCCAGTTTCCCCCACAGTCCAAAGACATGCGGTTCAGGTGATTTAGGTAGGCTAAATTGTCCCTAGTGTATGAGTGTGACTGAGTGTGTGTGAATGTTTCTCATAGATGGGTTGCAGCTGGAAGGGCTTCCGCTGCGTAAAAACGTGCTGAATAAGTTGGCAGTTCATTCTGCTGTGGCGAACCTGGATTATTAAAGGGACTAAGTCAAAAAGAAAATGAAATTAATAAATGATAGACTGTGAAAGTAGAACATCAGGCTTATAACCAATGCCATACTGTGTGTGTATTATTATGCAAATCCATATTCTCATAAATTCTTTTACTCAAGTACATTTTTAAATATCCAAAGTACTTTACACCTTTATTACTACTCTTCATGTTGCATGTTACCATTAATGTAAAGTGATGTAGAATAATTTTTACCAACGACTAGAAGTAAAGCACACTCAACTGAGGGAAGAATGAAGATGAAAAGGTAGGTGTTAAACCTAGAATTAAACCAACCCTTAATTGTCAACTGTGGTTTGGAACTGGTATTATGCATAAATATTTTTGGAATATTGATTGCATGCACTGAGAATAGGGGTTTTCAGGCAGTCTCTTACATGGCAGTTTGCATGGAGGTGGTGACAGACCGCTGCGGTTCAGTGTTCCCCCCATCAGCACAAAGCTCATCTCCTCAGTGGAGCACTGGAAAACCTCCACATAACGATCCTTCATCATCTTTTTGTGGCACTTCTGAGCCACCATAAATGCACGGTCAGCTGACTTCATCTGAATAAAGGCATCACCAGAGGGTCGACCCTAAAAAGAAGAACAAAAATACTCAACATAAGTTAAAGACCCCATGACAAGTTTCGAGAAACATCAGGCCTTTCTGAGGCACCTGCTGGTTGAGGACCATGTGCACTCCATGAGGTTTGATGTCAATGGTGTGTTCCCCCATAAACTCCAGGATGTCCTCGATGGCGGCGGTGTACGGCAGGCCTCTCAGCCTGATGCAGTCGCGTGTGTTGCCAGTGGTGATGAAGGGTGGAGTGGCCAACACTGGCACAGACACCATTGGAGGAGGAGGAGGTGGAAGTGTGGAGATCAGTGGAGTGGACATATAGCGATTCAACACCTAGTTTATAAGACAAAAAAAAGTCAAGTTGACAAGATCTTCTAGTCTTTCAAATAAACAGTTTTTTGGGGGATTTCAGTCCTGATTAATCATCAGATATACTACTATTTGTAAAAGGTAATTAAATAAAGCCTAATTTTCACTATATTTGGGATTAAATTATATATTTATGTCATACACTTATATATAGACATGCATATACAAATACACAATAGCAATACAGAGCAGCAAAAATGCATTGCTAGGAATTGGTGGAAAAAATATTTTCTGTTGTCATCTGAATATCTAAAAAAATATATTTTTGTTCAGCTTTTTTACCCACTGATACTTTTTGTAATTGACTACAAGTATTATTAAGATTAAAACTGTTTTAATAGGATTGGTCAGAATTTAAAAGGTCAAACGGTAATACATTTGTGTGCTGATGTGTTGGAAATTAGAAAGTGTTGTAACACTAATTTACATTTTTGCAATCAATGTGTGCATGTGTACGGTCTGCTGATCATGCTGATCAGCTGCTGCATCATTTTGCGAATAAATGGAAAAAACAACAACTAAAGTATTAAGCTCAGAAAAAAAAAAAATGTCTGTTTTCTTAACAGAATGCACACTGCTGGTGGTGAAAAGACCCCATCCTTCACACAATTTTAAAGTGCTTTGAATGTATGGCAATACCCAATAAATGCACATTACATAAAAAAAAAAAAAAAACACATGGTGGAAAACATCCAGCTCATTCTAGTCTGAATATTGAAATGATTAAAAACCCTGATGAAAATCTTGCCTATACAAAAATAATTCTATTACTAATGGCTACCTAAAGAATAAGTAACTGTAATATAAATGTTAATACTTAAATTTCTGAGTGTTCAGTTAAAAGCATCAATACCTGTTGGACCTCTGCTGCAGTGCTGCGAAACAGTTCAATGTATCTCTTGCCCAGGATCTGTTTGTGCTTTTTCAGGGCATTCTGGGCATATTCCTCACAAGCAAAGAGAACAAAAGCGTCGCCTGTTGGACGTCCATCTGGATATTTCACAAACAGAAGCCCCTCCGTCCCATCAGTCACTGGACACTCTGGTCCCAGGAAGCCCAGAACATCCTGAGGAGTAGCAGTAAATGGAAGCCCACGCATGCGAATTATCATCTGGTTTTCCTTGGACAGAAACTGAGCCACCTCATTGGAAGTGCCTATCAAAAGAAGAGGAATTGTACATTTAAAATAGGAAGTCACAGACTGATGCTCTCTGCTGCCCTAAAAGCTTTCAGCAGACACATCCACACGCTCTGTAATGATATCTCGGCAGGCCGCTGCTCTTTTACACCTGCTGTGTGTGAAGCTTTTCAGAGGCTGCTGACCCATCTTCATCCCTAAGGGAAAAAGCTCACTTTCTTTGTGACCCAGCCAGATCACAGGACAGGAGGGAAGGAGAGTAGAGTTTCCCCCTTTACCTGCCCAACATGAGTCAGCAAGACACTTACAAAGAGTCTTTCATTTCCACAGAGTGGGGGAAAATGATGGAGGGACACACACACACACACACACACACGCACGCACGCACGCACGCACGCACGCAAAACAAATGGAGATTTACGCCACAAAATGTAAAGTGTCTGCTCGAATTGAAGACCTCATGTAAATGTCTCACCTCCTGCAATCTTCAGGAATTCCTCCCCGGTCGCCTTATAAACCTGAAACAAACACAAAGTGGCATGAGTTAATCACAAAACCATATCTAACTGTATTCATCACATTGCGCCAATTACAGATGTGTCCACTAAGAGAAGCTGACAATCGTTTTAACAGATCTTAGTGATGATGCATTAAAGGGAATGACATTTAAGTGCTGTTTAAACCTGGCATAAAGATGGGTCATCAATTATCTGATCACAAGTGAACAATATAAAATTTAGATATGAATGAGCACTGAAACATTTTGATATTCTAATGCCAAATGCCATCACTAAAACAGCAATTAGTAGGATTGCTTTCATAGTACAAGCACTATGGCTGCTCAAATGTATTCGATGACAAAGAACGCCTGCACTCCACTTAGCATACTGACAGAACATAATTATTTTACGACGAGGTGAAAGTAAAAAGACAAGTTATTCTTAGTTCGCTGTGTGGTGCACCACTTACTACTAACATCCTTTTCATTCACTTGCATTCCAACAAGCTTAAATAAGGTTTTACAAGGGTTTATTTACACTGAATGTTCTCACTAAGTGACAGTGACGAAACAGGATTTTCATAAAGTTTTTCTGAATACTAAACACATGGTCACAATACACATGTAGATTATAGTGGAAATGCATCTCAGCCTCTTGTAACACAGACAAACTGAAAACCATTATTTTTTGGTTCTCTACCAAATGGTTAACTATAATTTGGCTGTTTTAAATAATGGTTTATACTACACAGCATTGTTGGTTTAAAAAAAATAAATCAATAAAATAAAACACTATCCTGTTGCACTACTGCACTTGATTTTGGTTTTATTGGTAAAATAAATTAAACAAGAAAACATGTTAAATGAAATCGGAAATATTTTATGGTATAAAACTAAAGATGATTAAGCATTCAAAAATGTTTTATTTTGATTATGTTTTTAAATAAATGGGTCTTGCACTTCATATTTTCATAGTACATGTATTAATTTAAGTACCTTTACCATAAAAATGACAAACCATTTGGTAGAAGTTGATATTTTAGAAATTATGGGATGTATTTAAAAATGCTTTGTGTTAACTACCGACATTAGATGTTGAGAATTGTAATCCAAAAGGAGATCATAATGCAAACAGACACATTTTTTTATATCAGTTTGAATAAATAATTCAATACCTCACTCTAAGACCTCATATTTATGCAAGATGCATACAGCATTTTTTAATTATCTTGAACTAATTATCATCACTAACAAATATATGTTAGCTTGTCGTCACCTACTGGCATAGAATGTTACTACTACAACAACCTTCTTTTGAAGTGTTAAGTAGTTTTCAGATTTAATACAGATTGTGATACTGTAGACAACAGCGTTTACATCCAAACACTAAAGTCTTAATCAAGTACTTCTGTGAACATTTTAAAAGTTTGTAACAAAATAAATAAAAAAATTAATAGTTGAGATGGTGTCTGTGTTTAAATGGTTTAAAATATTTTATATCTTATGCAATCTTATAGTCTTGTTGCATGAGTGCATTATCAGCTATAGCCAAAATTATATTAGGAGTGTCCAAATTATAGATTTTTCTTAATTTCAATTGTCACAATATTTAGATGCACCTCAGCCAAATATTGTCCTATTCTAACAAACCATAACTAACATCATTTAGCTTTCAGATTATGTATAAATTTCAGTGATTGAATGAATTGAATGAATGAATGAAATGAAAGAAATGAAATGATTTTATGGTCCTGGGTCACAAGATCCTCTAGATCAGATTGCTGAAAATCCATTAATATAATGTGAAAATAGTGTTTTAAAGATGCAGCTTCTTTAGCAAGCCAGCTTTGTCATGGCAAAAAAATCAGTGTAAGCAAAGCAATCAGGAGCATTTGAGATGTTAAGTGAGCATTACTAAACAAGGGGTCAGTTGACAGTTAAATAAAACAAACTCCTGGTTTGGGTGCAGTGAAGAAGTAAACTCACTTCAATGTATCTGCTGCCCATGTGGTGTTTGTGCCGATCTAGTGCCATGTCTCTGTGCTCAGAGTTTATGAAGCGCACCAGAGCTTCCCCATTCCTTCGACCCTGAGCATTTAAACACAACGCAACACCCCCTCTGTATGCACAAAAAAAAAAAAAAAACACACACACACAAAGGAATATAAGCAGCAATTAAAAACTAGTTAAAGTCTTTTGAATTGTGCTCATAACAAATCAGCTTTGACATTCCATGAAAACCTGCATTTTCACTAGCTAAAGTCCTGATGTGACATTTGGCTAGATTTGCCTTCAAGTTCTTACTAAGTTTTGCATTACACTGTTAATGTGTACTTAAGGGTCTTTTCTGAGTGCACGCTCCATGCCATTGTGAGTGTGCATTTCAGTGTTACGCTGAGCTGTAATCTTACTTGGCAATGTTCAGGCCCTTGAAGAAACGGGCGATGTCCTGATCAGACGACTGCCATGGCAGCCCACGAGCTCTGATGACCGTCTCACTGTCCACAGCTTCTGTCTTACTACTGGAAGCCAATCACACATGCAGACACACAGTTTATCATGAGAAACCCCACAGATGTTAATTGCAAAATTTGTGGTCAAGCAATTAAACTAATGACATAGTCATTAGTACATACCACGCTCCAGATTCAAACTTGTAGTTTACAGTCTCAAAGGCAGAGAATTTGTGATCTACAAAGGAAAAAAACATGAACAACATCGGAAGCAACAAGAGAATTTACAAGCATATTTTCAATCCAATTAAATTGTAAGCTCATGTAAATTCGTTACACCACTTTTCTTCCTATTAGGGTAAGGTCATAAACAGCTTAAGGAGAGCTATATTTTTGAACCTTACGTTGATTTCATGCAACATGTAAGCACATCAAGCTGTTTTCTGTCAGTTTACTAAAGTGCAGATGCATGATGTGACTAACATGTTTAGAATTTCTGATTAAAGATTTAAATGCATGAAAATATGGCATGGAGAAATATGGAGAAAATATGGCATAAAATCAGACCCTTTTTTCTTGACCAAAAGATTAAATATAAAAATATTCTCATCTAAGCAGAAGTACAAGTTACAATACTATAAATAAATGAAAATATTGTACTTATGCTACAATAAGTAAGTACTGCATCATAGGATAATGTATGAGCCATAAGCCACTTGCAAATCAAACTAATTTAGCTAAATTGTAAGATTACGTGTTTACATTTACATCAGAAAAATGTATCATTTCAACAAGCTTTCAAAATTTTTGTTAATTATCATAAAAGTGCTTGTGTAAAAGGGTATCTTTTCATTTCTCATAAATTTGTAGAGAAAAAAGTGCAAACTTGGGGTGATCCTTTATAATAAAACAAATAACAATGATAAGCTTGGAGCTTTTTTACTCTATATTGATCTAAGAGCCAATTATACAGCAAAAATGTGCAGCAATGGGAATCTAAGTGTGCTGATATTAGAGATCTAACAAATTTTTCCCCCACCTAAAACTTACAGGGCGAAAATATGTTATGCCATTTAATGGACTCTCCAATTCTTGTGGCTTCAGTTATTGTTGGGGTACTCTTTAAAATCTAGAGGCATTAAGATCTTATATCGAAACATACATCGTCATCCTTCAATATGGAAAATAATTACCGAGATTGCATTTTTGTCATATCGCTCAGCCCTAATTGCAAGTGTGGAGTGCCACACGATCAAATAAAAAAGGCTGTGCATTTGACTGCGCACATAGAGTAGTATATAAAAAAAAACATTTACTTTAGGCTTAAATGGCACAGATCAATCTATTATATGGGGTCACTCACTGTAAGGCTCAGCCAGGACATGAAGTATTAGCAGAACCATGTCCTTCACCTCCCTCAGTCCGGCTTCTTGCTCCACCGTGGCTTGAATGCACACATCTGACAGCATGTCAAGGTGTATACAAGCCATACTGTACACCAAGACAGATTCACACACACTCACACTCCTAGAAAATTGCCAAAATAGGTGCTTCAAAATGAACTGAACAAAATCCCCCAAAAATGGCATTCATCTTAATTTGTTATACTTAAATAAATAGTATTTGCATTGAAAAAAAGGCATATGTAGGATACAGTCCAGCATGGACGGCAGTGTGAGGTCTTTGACTGGTCCTGCATTGGGGCAGCATTTGTGAAACTCTTTCTTCAAGTCTACAAATGTGTAGAAGCACTCTGGCAGGACTAGATTCTACAACAAGACACACACAGGCAAATGAGAGGAAAGCGAGCAGAAAAATATGTTTAGGAGGAGCCTCAGGGAAAGGAAAACTGTAAAGAAGAAGAAAAATGTATAAGGCAGAACGGATTGGGTGCTTTATTGTCTTCTGGATGAGCACAACATTCCTGTGAAGATTATAACATGTTGCTGCTAAACAGATAACACAAACTGATAGCTTAATTTAGAAATGGCAGAAGAAATTATGCACAGTTGAACACATACAGTAGGGTTTTCATTTACACCTTAAACAGCCATCAGTAAGAGTGAATAAAGCATAAATACACAAGAAGGAAAGCGTTTTTAGCTTGGAAGGTAATTTACCTTTTTAGAAGCCTCAGGGTGAAGCACCTGTCGAATAAGAAGTGGCCCGTCAACACACAGTGTGTAAGAGCTTCGGCCCAGTGACTTTAGTTCAGCTGACACGGACTGGTGAAACTACAGACAGAAACAGAGAAAGACAGACAAAATAAATCCTACTATTAGCACTATTATACATTTATTTCAAGAGTTCACACTTAGATATTGCTTAATAATATCCCTGAGCCCTGAACTCGGAAATAACTGACCCCAGGGCTACCGCCTGGTTGATGAGCGTGTGAGGGGTTTTGAGATCAGGTAATTATTGAGCTCCCCCTGGTAAAGAAGGAAAAGGGGGAGATGGGGTGGATTGAGGGATTATTCAAAAAAGTGAAGATAAGAAAGTAATACTAGCCAGGCCAGACTAGTCTTGACTACCAGTCAAGATCAATCATATCACATGCTCATGTGAAATTAGCTTGTGAAACTTTCCAAAATTTCAGCTTTTTCGGAAGAAAATAAAAGGGCTGAGCATCATGCAGGGCTGGACTGGGACAAACATAAACAAAATAAAAATAAATAAATAAATGACAAAATAAATCGACCCTGGCATTTTGGGCCAGAGTGGCCCACTACATACAATCAAAGTGCTACTCATCTGTGCACGCCCTTGAGTATGTTTACCAACTCCTATTTTATAAAAGCATAAAAGCCATATATAGGAAATTAAAAGAGTTGACAAATTAAAAAAAAAAACTTATAAAAATACACAAATAAATGTATTAAAAATGTATTATAATAACAAAATTATAATCCACACTGGAATTCATCTTGTGTGTGCCTGTGTGTTTTGAGGAAGCCTTTATTAAATAATGAACATAACAAAAACTGCCTGCTGATGCACACAGTTAATGTTGATTAACAAAATAAAGTTAAATAATAAACGCAAAGTGTCCGAGACCCTTAAATGCTTAACTCAACAATGAAACATCAAACATGGATAAAAGATTGTGTATAGTCAATCAAATAAACTTAAACGATTTAACGATTAAAATGCAAAAAAAAATAAAAGACACATACTAGTTTTATCATGTATAAATATAATTTTAACCATATTGTATAAATATTATTGTAACTATACGCCTACATCATGCATTCAAACGAAATGTCATGTTATCACAGGTGATTGTCCTCTGACCGAGTGCACCCTAAAAGACATAAATGACACTCAGAGCTTAAGCATTCAGTTCTTTAGGATTCTTTAGTTCTTTTATCTTTAGTAAAATAAAAAGTTGCAGGTTAAGGAAACAGCATGGGAGGAAGTTGCCGCGGGCCTTGAAGTAGATAAAATGTAAAAATAAAAAAAGTTTTCTATAGACATGTAACTAGATGTGCGTTGCTTCTGCTGTCCATATGCACGTGTGTTGTCTGAATTGGGCATGACTTTTAACTATTTTGACAAATACACACCATCGTTGCACGCTCACACAGAGCCCAAACTGGGTGTTTGTGATTAGATCAGTTAAATGTCAATAAAGCAAAGAACCAATGGGCTGCAGATTATGTCACATAGGCCGGTTTGTCGGAAAAAGAAAAAAACATCTTACTTTCAGAGCATCATTGTGAATTAATTAGGCAGAAAAAAATGACAGGCTGGTAAGCATTTTATGGGCCGATCAATCACAAAAAGTACGTTGGCCCAGTGGGGAAACTAGTCCGCCCCTGGCGTCAAAATAGGACAGTGGTTAGCTGATTAATAAAGAGACTTAGCCAAAGAGAAAATGAATGAATGAATAAAAGGGCAGCACGATATTGGAAAAATGTCTGACATTGCAATTTTTTGTTTTGTTATGATATATATATTGCAATATGAATACAATTTTACCAGATGATTTGAATATTTGGAAAGATTTAATTAAATTGGATCGACTGGAATGATCTTTCTTTTTCTACGTAGTGTATTTGCATAAAAATATTTAAACACTTTAAAATAAACTATAAATGAAATTTAAAATAAACAAGCAAAAATTGATAAACTGATTTATGTTATGTTATGTTATGATTTTTGGGAGTATAACAGTATTCAAGTACAGACATTGAACAAATGATACAAATAACTGAACAAATAAATGATAAAAAAATATATACAATTTAATAATAGCTTTATCTCTTATATATAATCTTATTTTGCGATGTGACTTGCAGATACAAATTGATACTGATATTGATGCTTACGATATATTGTTCAGCCCTATTTTGTATGAAGAAAGATTTAAATTAAATACCCCCTTAAACAATCTTTTTTTAGTTACAGAATTTTTAGTAGCTTTTATTTTTCATGAGTCTTTAGTGTGACACAAATCATTTGAATAAGCAATTTTGAATGCTATTGTTTAGTGCAAAATTAAAGTACCTTCTTCCTGCAATTTGAAAAGTCTGAGCACAGCCAGAATCTCACACAATCACAAGTGACACTGTGAAAGAATTATTATTGGCAATGACAGTTTGTTAAATATCTTCTGATCATCAGACAGATAAAAATAAATAAATAAATAAATAAATATAGGCGAATACTACTGAACTTTCTATTGCAATGTCAAGGGCATCCCAAAGGTCACTCACTGCATGTTGTAAAGTGTTAATGCGCATGCTTGTTCTAGAATAAGCAGCTGGTCAGACTGGTTTGGTCGAAATACAGGAAGTGAGTCGTGGCTCTGCCAGTCATTACAGATAAAGTAGAGACAGATGACAAAACAAATGAAGAGCGTTTGTTTTGCTCAATAAACACACCACCTGCTCACTCACAACTATAGAGGCTCCCACATTTACCAGTGTTTAGCAGAAACACAGTCTTTAATGAACCATTACAGATGTTTAGTAAACTTATCCATCTCTGCATCAGTCAACAGCAGTTCGGGTTATCCTCCAACAATGGTGCCAAAACTGATGACGTTGTTCACATGACAGCAACAAAGAAACACGGAAAATAGGTAATACGGAGCAGTGGGAATGTCTAAGATTTTTTTAGTGAGGGCTGATCATAGCCACTAAATGAAATTATGTTGAATAGCATTTTAAAAAACTATTTATACATGGTATTAAATGTACTGTTGTGACAGCAGATCAAACATGACATTTGCACAACTGAAGTCAATCCATAGTGAATTACAGCATGAACTGTTGTGCTATGTGTAAGACTCCAGTATGCAAAAGGAGAACAGATAGCACGTTTATGGCCTAATTTTCATATCATTTGGGCCAGTACTGATAACACACGCCAACATTGCCTTTACATAAGAGCAACCAACACGCAACTGACAAAAGTTTAAAAGATGGTGCTGCATCTACACGCTGTACATGTGAAGTCAAAATGGCAGCACATTCTGCTACATTCCCATCATGCTCTTGTACTGTGACGTGTTGTTTTTCTACATAACCTGTCCATCTTCATACCTCATGCCGATACAAAGCTTCAGTTAGTCATTAAGGGCTTAAAGAGACTTTTCGCAAATACCAGATAATTCTATTCAACATATAATTCAAGAGCTTTACATCTCATTTTAGGTAATCTTAAGGTAAACCTGAGTGGTACGCGGTCACAATCTGTACATAAATATTAACTCATTGACTTTAGTTAATTAGTGTGTTTATGACAGTTTTCCCTGCTCAGCCCCGCCTTGCACAAATTAGCACCTGCAATAATTAAGTGCAAACGTAATTCCTGCTACACAAACGTTCGGCTAAAACACAGACACACCCTGTGCTCACTGCTCACACACACAGTTAGAGAGAGAAGATCAAACTCCAGTGAAAAGCAAGATATGAAGGTAGCATTTCACTATTCACCTACACTATTTTTATGACATCTAAATTTAAAAATGTAATCAAATCAAAACCTGGAAAAAACATTTGTGCACTAAAATAAAAAGAAAAAAAAATGTATGTGGTGAGGATGAGATAAATATGGTATTTAAAGTTGATCTGGGTTTCAGTTTCACATTCTCCTCTACTATTCTGTCAGTGAGAATGAGGGAGAAAACTGATCTATGGAATCACAATCAATTGGTGAGTCCTTTGGGGCCATGTTTGCTTAGTGTGTGTACTGGTTTAGCTGAACTCATGAGAGCCAAATGTCCTCTTTTATAAAGTGAAATATCATGACAACCCACTAGTTAGGACATTTCTGACCAGTTAAAAAGTGGACCAGTACACGTTTCATTTGAGTTTACCAATTTTGCACTTGTCTGTGAGGATTGGGTTTAGGGGTAGAGTTAGGCCATAGGAAATATTATTAATCTGGCAGATAAACACAATGGAGGTCTAAGCAATGTAATAACTAAATTGGTAAACAATTGTTTGTGTATGTGTGTGTGTTGTATTTATACACAAAGAAACCAAACTCCAAATTGCATTTTGGTGCCTTGAAGGAGAGTTATCTATAGAGCCATTAAAAATACGTATATTATTATTATTTATTTATTTATTTATAAAATATTAAAATATTAAAAATACAAGTGTTTATGATCACATGACCTCAGTTAGATGTAAGATGTCAGATATTTCATACAACATAAAGATCAGTTGTTTTTACACCACCAATTCAGCAAACAGCAGAAAATATTCATACAACGTTAAAAACTATATAGTATGTCATATATTATACCAATATTTTAATGTTTTGTTTTAACAAAATTGTTAGCCTACAGTATTTATTTATATTACAGTTATGCATTTCAAATGGCTTTTGCAAACTTTTAACTTTAATTAGAGCAAAATGCTATCTTTCAGCCTTACACACATCTATACAGTGTTGGTGAAAGTTACTTTAGAAAGTAATGCATTACAATAATGGGTTACTCCCCAAAACAGTAACTAGTTACATTACTTAGTTACTTTTTATGATAAGTACTTTTGCTACTTTTTCTGATCTGGCTTGATCTTCCAGTTTATTTTTTTCCTTTAACCTTCATTTACCTTTAAAAAACACATTAAAAAGGTGTAGGATAATGTTATCTTCAGAGAACTTCCTGACCCCAGAGCTTTAAATGTCTCATAAAGAGTACTTCAAGTGTTCTGGGGCCTCATGTACGAAGACTTGCGTGGAAATCTTACTAAAACATTGCGTACGCACAAAGCTGTAAATGTGCGTACGCAGAAAAAATTTCAGATGTATGAAACACTGCGTACGCCGAATCTCACGCATATTCTTTTGTACATCCGAATGAACGTGAAACTGAGCGCAACATGCACGAGCGCAAAACCCCTCCCTGCCTCCTCCCCCGTATGAATATGCTAATGACTATGCTAATGTCAAAACCCAACGAAAAAGCAATGGCAAAAGCAAGCCAAAAGAGAAACTTTGAACAGAATGTGAAATGGAGGTGCTGCTTTCGGAGGTAGACCGGAGAAAAGCGGTGTTATTTGCAAGTTTGTTCGGCGGAATTAACAACAAAAGAAAAAAAATAGAGTGGGAGAGTTTAGCTGATACGGTTAACACAGTTGGGTCTGAACATCGCACTGAGTGCATTTAAAAAAGAAATAGTGTGGTTTATATCTGTAAAGTGTTGCAGTTCTCTTAGCAGTCTCAGTGGCGCACCTCATAAGAAGCATGTGATCATGTACTGACACGTTCGAGCATAAACTCGGCTCGAATCCAGCGTCTGATGAATTCATTCTTCTTTTTTTTCCCCGCTACATATCAGATTTTGCCCACTATTTATCACGAGAAAGACAAGTAGGAATCATCAATAAGTTTGTGCATCATATTTTATTTGCACATTTATTGAATGGAAATGTTTCTGATTCACGCATGCAAATTTATCCTCACATAGTGTCTTTATAGCAATGTGCGTGCAGTAGATAGCTCAGATTACATTGGGAAAACAGGCGACCGCTGCAAATTTTGCTTTAATGTTTAGCTGGTCAACTGTATGGTATGGAAATCTTACATACCTACTATATGAACCCGTCTCATACAGACGCCATTGCAAGGCTCAGACACTTTGTAGAGAAGAATTTAACACAACTGCCTCTAGGAGTCGCCAATGGAAATAAAACAGACACGCACAAAAAATGTGCGTACGCCTGCCAGAAAGCTGCCGTGAACCTGCGCAAATTCCCACGTTCAGTTCATTGTTAGTAAATCCAAACGTGATCGATTCTGAGCGTGAAACCTGGCGTACGCAAAGTTTTTGTGCGTACGCAGCGTTGATACATGAGGCCCCAGGTCTCCAAATTTAGTAGGGCTAAGTAATATGTATTGTATTCTCATATTGCATATTACTGTGCAATCAGAAGTAAAGCAGGAGTCCCATTAGGCAAGTTAGCAGGATGTGCCGGGCTGAACTACCAGGATGTTCATGCAGCAACCTCACACAGTACAACCGGTTTCCAGTTAATCCACTGTCTATTTATTTTATTCAATGCTGCAAAGTCATGAGATCCACAACCAACGTCTATAAAGGACTTTTTCATTGATAGGAATTATTGCATTTTTGCTTTAATGCTGACTGAAAGAATAGATGAATGTGTCACTCATCCTTTCATAGAGGCATTTCCCAGAACCCTCCCAGTGCATTGACAGTCTGTAGAGAAATAAAGCACTCTGCTCATCACACACAGGTACTGACACGCTTCTGCCAGTCTGCTGTGCTCACTCAGCGAACATACGCACTCTCAAACACACCCAAAATCCCTTTCTCCCTCAAAAACACTCAGGATCTTAAAAGTAATAATTTCATTCTACACACATACATAGGTGTGTTAGTGCCACACCATTCCCACAGTGCTAGCGTCAAAAAGCAGGTGCAAATTGAGAGTCATTCAGCAAATGCTAGCAGCTATAAATGTATTTTCCCTTCAATTTTACTGTTAATAGCTACTCAGCACAAATAGCACAGACCAGCCACTAAAGCTCAGAACAAAACAAGTTTGACTCAAGTCTATGACACACTAAATCTTGATAAGTACCTGTTTCCTAACTTAGACGCAATGTTGAAGAAGATTTTATCAACCAGTCAGAAAATTAGTGTTAGTCATCATGCTGCAACTTCTTATGAAGGTTATTTTTTCCTAAACGAACACAACAGGCCAAGGTCCGTTGTGATACCTTAGTGAAATGGAGCACTTCTTCAACCCCCAGCTCCTTACTGCAGTTTCAGGAACAATTTGACTGAATACGTTTAGATCACTTCTCTGTACGGTTTAGGTCATTTCAAGTTCAGTCGCTGTTTGGATCAAAACGTCTTTGACATTTACTGAAGAAAATCCTACAGGTATCTCTCCTCAGGGTCATGTAGTGATCATCTTTAGCTGTAATTCAGGTTTGCATTCATCATGGCATTATTTGGACAATAATAGGCATGGGATGATAACTGTTTTCAAGGTATACTGCGGTTTGGAAAAGTCAAGGTTTAAAAACTGCCAACATTTTCTGTAATAGCGTTCCTAAGGTATAATGTATGTAATATTTTTAGTTACGGTTGTCCTTAAAAACTAAAAGAATATGCAAAGTTGATGTTTTAAATAAAGAAATCTCTGTTTTAGAAACTAATGAAGACAGCAGAAGTTTATTTGGCCTGAGATGTTTACTGCTTCAAAAATTTTATTATAGAGTGTTCAAAGGGATGAAAAAGTTTTTATATTTTTACCCAGACATTTAAACATAATATATTTTAGAGCGGTGAGCACAATATCATGATATTTTTATCCAAGGTTAACATACCGTCAGAATCTTATACCAGCCCATGCCTAGACAACAATAGGTAATGTCGCACCATATATTTTAATTAATTTTGGCTGAGATCTTGTATTAATTAGGGTTGTGACCATTCCACCTAGAGTATGCAAAATTTTCAAGTAACAATTTTGACCCAAATCAACCACTTAGTATGGTTTACGGTACATAAAGACTTTTTTTGCACCTTATCTCAAGTATTCGATACTAATTCCAAACCTCATTTGAGACATTTTTTTGAGAAACTCAGTTTATTCATGTGAAGTACTTTATAACCAATAATACTTTCAACATGTACTTAATTAAGTAACTAACTTTTTACTTGCTTTAAATTTTAAAACACAAACACACTGGGGGAACCTGAACTGAGCGAATGATCTATCTCTCTGAAATGTAGACGAGGAGAAATTGATTTCCTAGTTAATATTTACAGAGCCCCCTGGGGATAGGCTACAACTGAATCAAGATAACATACAAATGCCACCACCTGAACGTAACAAAGGTAAGTTATAAAAGTGTCTGAAAACAAAATGTCTTAATTGTCATAATGACAATAAGACTCTTTAATAATACAAACAAGATGAACTTAGACTAGGAGCTGTAAACACTTTCTGTGGGACAGTAATAAGAGGGCGTCATTTTGAAACACTGAGGGTGGGAACAGGTTTATCGAGTGCAAATAAATTCTGCGTCAGTGTTGAGAAACACGTTTGGCAACACCACCTTTTGTCAAAAAACATACCTGTAAAACTCAAGCCGAAATCACTCCAAACCTCCTTGATGAAAGTTTAACATGGAAACCCAGAGCAAAAAAAACAGGAACATTGTAACAGTCTATGTCCCTACCCTTACATGAGCATTACCTACACTTACTCAAGACTCATTGACATATATGGTTCTCAGGTGGGTGAATTCGCAGGTAAACATTCCGTCTTCCAGATGTCTTCAACACATCAGTCCACAACAAGACTAGACCTGCACTCCACCCTGGAGCAGAGCGTCTGTGCCTTCTTTCCTTCCCTCCCTCACTCACTCAAAACCACTAACAAACACACCACAGCAAAACCATTTAAATCAAACATGAGGCCCATACATGGTGCTTTGTGACTTTTGACCAAATGTACATTATGTATTCCGCTTAATGGCTATAAAACACACATAATATAATGGCAGTCCAAACAGACACACAGATGGAGCTTCTCACCTGCTGCAGGACGCTCTCCAGCGGCTCGGCCTTACACAGCTCCTCGGCAGTGAGCCCGGTCTCCTCCTTGCACTGCTCCGACAGGTCCACACTGTCCGGCTGTACTAGAGTCCGGTGAAGTTTGCCCACCTGTTAACAACAGCATGTCTTTCAACCGGCCTTGCATTGAAACTCTAGCGGGTTTCTCTCAGTGGCGCGCCCTTAAACACGCACCTGGCCGTCGAGAACATCAACGCAATTAATGCTCAATGCTCTCCACGAGCCCGTGCGGTCTAGGCGAGCACCTCACTGGGTTGACACCGATGAAGTAGATGGTGGTGGTTGTTTTGATATCTCAGACGGTGTGTTTGTGTGAATGCAAAGCAGACACGGCAGGGTTACTGACCTACAGGAGATGACATGCAGCAAACAGGGCACGCTTTCGTCTCTCGTGGCTTGAAATGGCCACGCTGTAATGCTCGAATTAAACAGATAGTACTCGAATCAAAAGTAGCTGTGAGATTTATAATGCAAGTTAGCGCGTTTGACTATCCGAAAGCGCACCTCGTTGGTGAATGTCACCTGTCAAGGTGGTTTCTAACACTAACACATTACTGGGTTTGTTGTTTAAAGTTAGAGACCTTACATCAGGGTTAAAAGGTCCGTACCTTATTCTCATGTAGATCCACAATTTGCCACACCAAGAGAATTAATTCCCTTTCATCCGACCCCAGTTTACCCCCATTTGCACCAGCTGTTGCCCCAAAGAACACCACCAGAGTATCACTGTGCGAAGCCATCAGGGACCACAAGGGTACAAACTACAATTAAGAGCAAAGATCAAATAAAACAGTAACACGAGGGTTCACCTTTCTCCAAGAGAAGCAAACAAAAGAAATGGAAATTCAATTGAAGTACACGAGGAAGGACAGAAGATTACTCCAGGAGGACACGAGAGAGAGTGCGGCACGAGACTCTACCTGCTGAAGTTCTTGTGTGCTCTCGATCCAGAGTTACTGGTTTGACTGGTAAAGAAGGCAGAAAAAAGTCCTCGTTCGTCTCACGCTAACCCCATAACAAGCCCTGAAGGCTTTTCTCGCTGTCTCTTTTTTTCTTGGTTACCTGGCTTTGGCTCGGCCTCCCTGTTTGGTGTCAATCTCCCGGGGGAGCCCGCTGATTGGACGGTTTGTAAAGGTGAGGGCGGGTCGTACAGCTACTCTGTCTATGATATGCGTTCTGATTGGTCCGCAACGCGCTAGGAAGTAGGATGGAAGATCAGATTCACTTTCTCTGCTGCCAAGCACCTATGTGTATCCGCGCTGTTCACCTTACCTTCTGCTAAATATATACGTTTCTAAACGTGCTTTCAGCTGTTTAAATACATATTGTGTTACATTTTTAACTTTAGATTTGAAGTGTGTTTAAAAGCATGGACTCCTACGGACACCTCATGTCAACTGCCTGAATAAAAGTTTTAATATAAGTTTTTTTTATTTTAGATGTGTGGGTTTTCATAATCTTTCTTTAAAAAAAATTATATATTATCTAATATCATTTTTACTTTATAAAGAGAGCAGGTAATACATTATCGGCAATTATTAGTTTATTCTGGATATCCAGTTGTTTATCCAGTTATGAGCGCTGAGCAGCCGCTTGAGTGGCATTTCAAGCCACCAATCACACTTCACTAAGCCTACTTAGTAAGACGTTAGGCAGGATTTACTCTTTACATGTTTGAACGACAACCTGCCTCAATATATTAAAGTGTCTATAAATTATTAAAATTCGAGGAACATCATAAACCTGGGCAAAATGTTTTTCATAACTAATGAGATTGTCAAAGTTTGAATTTGCTTAATATAATAGCCTAATTTTCTTTCTTTCTTACTTTCTTTCTTTCTTTCTTTCTTTCTTTCTTTCTTTCTTTCTTTCTTTCTTTCTTTCTTTCTTTCTTTCTCAGCTCCAGGAAGGACACAATTCAGACAGAAATCACACACTACAGGAAATTTAGTGTGACAGCAAACGAAAAAACTACATAAATTGACTGCTTGATGCAATAGTATACAGTAAATAGTTGTAATACATGTTTTAGGAGCCTTACATCATTCGCTCATGCATGCAGTTGGTATACTATACCCAGGTAGCAAAGAATTCTGACCCAGATTTGGCATAAAGCTGGCCCAGCAGGCATTAATTTGGCACTGGTATATTGCATGTGGACCACACATGGCCCAGGTTTGGCAGAGGTGGCACCGTCTAAGGCAGCACACAAGACATGGGCCAGATGTCAAATGTAATATTTGTCCTAAATATTAACAATTGTACTGTATATGTGCCGCATAGGTTTGGCCTATCTTAACCCACATTCAAAATTCTTTTAATTATTTTTAAGAAGAGTAAAGAAATATTTTAATACACACAATAATTTCCATCTTCTTATTTGCATCTTCTAATGCCTTAATTTCTATCCAGGAAACAATCAAGATTTAATTGTTTGAATTATTATTCTATCCTGTGTTGTTACTGGAATTTGGCTTTCAGGTAATGGCCCAGTTCAGGCCCAGTCATGGGTTATTAACTTGGCTAAACTTGGCCCAGACATGGTCCATGTTTGGCCCTTGTCTGGAAGCCAGACTTGGTCCATTCATGTACCGTAATTCACTATCCAGAGCTGGCCCAGAGAAATTTTGCTATGTGGGTATAGCAGGGGTGCCCAAACGTTTTCTTATGAAGGGCCAAAAACCAAACTTGATTGAGGCTAGTGGACTGAAGGTAAATATAGTTGTCATGGGTAATTTCCTAATGTATTTAATAATATTTAAAAATAACTAGAAAACATTGCTTTATATTAACTATTACAGTATATATGTTTACATCTTATAATTAACTTATTACAACAAAAACAATCTCATTTATAAGAAAATGGAGTAGTTTTTGCCTTGATGTGCTCAGTCTGTTGAGTGACAGTATTTACATTTTAAAGACTCATTCATTTACAATATTTCATTAAAACATTTAATGTCAGTCTGTTTTTTTGTATCTCAGCAACAAAACAAACAAAAAAGCTTTTGTCAAATCAGAAGGGACGAAAGGCATTCTTCCCAACCCTCTCCATCATACTCACGCTCTTCTCAGATGGGATAGTGGGCCAAGTCAAAGGTAACAATGGGGGAACTTTGGGCCCTACTTTTGGCATCACTGCTATGTAAGAGCAGCTGTGGATTTTAATTCCATGTTCAAAAAAAAAGCCAAAGAGACTGTTAGTCTGCACTCGTCTTGCTTTTCATTGAGTGGCAAACTCAGGTGAATATTTCTTGTGAGACTCAAACGGTTAAGCATCTTTCGTTCTCTGGTTTCATCTTGAGCAATGCTCAGCTGATTCATTCAGTCATGAAAATGATCTTTAAAGAGAGAGAAGTAAAACCACAGGTCAAGGCATGTGCATGTCATCCTAATGCTCACATATATAGGCAATACTTTTGCCTTTTATCAGTTCAATCAATTCAGTCTCTGAAAGGAACAAACTAAAGATTTCGTAGAAGAAGAAAAAAACCTAGTGAGTTTCTTCTGATTTAAACCTACACAAGATATAAGAAGAAAAAGCTAATGTCTCAGTGTAACAGAGAGAATCTTCTTCCAGACAAATCTCTGTTCCTTTTAATGCCCACTTCCTCTTTCACACCATTACAAGAGTCACAAAAACACGGTGCAATGTGAGGAAAAAGAAGATGTTGAAATCATTGTGCACCGCAGCTGCGGCTGTGGACAATCTGCTTGCATAAGACACCATGGGAATCTAACCCATATCAGACAGAAGTGTCTGATATAAAGGCAATGAAGGTTTAAAATCAAAGTCAAAGTAATTGTGTAATAGAATATGTGGTCAATTAAAACATCTCAGCGAGTATTACAATATACTCAGAACACAAAAATGAAGACACAAGCAAATGTTTTACTTGATTTAAACGTGTGCATTTGAATACAACTCCTACATTTAAAAGCTTCATGCACTCCTGCTTGAGAAACAATAGTTAAATGCCTAATATTGTTCAGTCCTGGGTGTGAAACACCTGATAGGGTCAGTCTGCAGTACTGACGCATGATTCCACTGCCACGTCTTGACTTTTTGAGTCTGTGAGACACTGTGAGTTGGTGGTGGTGTGTGAACTTTGTCTTTTGGACACAAATGATAACTCCTTATTCCCTTCTCCTGACACAGCACTGGACAGATGCTGGAACAGCTTCTGTATCCCCGTTTCTCGAAGTGAGCTGCGGAAGGTTCGTGCAGCGAGCACATAGAGCACTGGATTGACAGAGCTGCTAACAAATACCAGGGCTCCTGCTATAATGCCCATTGTGGCACAAATGTCTTCCAAACTTTGCGCCAGGTCTGGGTTTGATTGCTTGATTGCCAGTGAAATGAGAGAAAGAATGTTGCCTATGTGATGAGGGATCCAGCACAGAGCAAACATCACCACCACGCTGCAGATCAAAACTGTGGATTTACGCTTGGACTTGAAGTTCATCTGCACTATGCGACTGAAGAGGCAGCCATAACAGACCAGCAAAGTTAAAAAGGGGACGATGAAACCTATAAGAGTTTCTAAAATAAGCAAAACAGCCTCCTGGGTGTCAGACTCGTATTCCCTGAAAATGCATTGATCGTGTCCATTAACATCCCCCAGATTGTGAGTTAAAATGATGGGAATGCTCAGCAGAAATGAAACAATCCATATTATCAGAAGCACCTTGTTTAGCACTTGTTTTCTTCTCCAGGTGATGGAGATGAATGGGTACCTGACGGCCAGGAATCGCTCCACACTCATGACGGTAATGATGAAGACGCTGCTGTACATGCAGGAATAGATGATGTAGACCATAGCTTTACAGGCAGCCTTTCCGAACACCCAGGACCGGGCCAGCGAGTAGATCCACAGCGGCAGGGTGATCAGCACCATAAGGTCAGCGGCGGCCAGATGGAGGATGAGCAGCACCGTGTGTGAACGCTGTTTTACATGCTTCAGGATGGTCCAGACCACTAGCAGGTTTCCTGGTGTGCCCACCATAAAACACACGGCCAGGATCACACAGGCCCCCACCAAGCCCAGCTCGGTCTCCTCGTCTCCCTGAAGATTCGCCGTAGCGTTCATGTTTCCTTCTCTGGTGCACTTCTAGTGTGCTACACATCCAACCACTGAGCTAAAAAAACAGGCTGCATCAGCAAAACTCACTTCCCTTTTGTGAGGGGAAAAAGGGCTGTCAAACACAGAAAAGAAAAACATCTGAAGTGACTGTTGGCTAGAAGAGAAGGACATATAGCGTGAAAGGGTGTTTGGGTGGTGCATCAGCCATGGATACAGATGTAAAGATTGTGTGAAAAATGAGAATGTGGTCAGGTCTCAACTAATTCCATTAGGACACGTGTCTTGTGATTGTCATTGCATTGTTTTATTCAACAAGAAGCTGCTTGATGTTAGTAGTTGCCATTTTGATGGTAAACCCTGACTTTACCAGTTAAAAAAGTACTAATTACTTAATAATTACCATCAACTGTTTGGTTAACAACATTCATTCATTCATTCATTCATTCATTTTCTTTTCAGCTAGTCTTTTTAATAGTCAGGGGTCATCAAAGCGGAATGAACTGCCAACTTATCAAGCACTGGGAAACATCCATACACTCTTGTATTCACACACACGACAGCCAGTTTAGTTTAATTCATCTATAGCGCATGTCTTTTGGTCTGTGGGGGAAACGAGCACCCGGAGGAAACCCACATGAACACAGGGTGAACATGCAAACTCCACACAGAAATGCCAACTGACCCAGGCAAGGCTCGAACCAGCAACCTTCTTGCTGTAAGGCCATTGTGCTAGCCACTGTGCCACCGTGACACCCTGGTCAACAATATTCTTCATAGTATTTTATTTTGCATTCAGCAGATGAACAAGACACATTTTTCTCTTTTGAGTGAACCATGCTTTTGAAATTGACAGGATTCTCATTGACAGTATAGTGAGTGGAAGTTATTATACAAGTTATAAGTTATTATATTATATATAAGTCTTCAAAATGGGTGATGCAGTGGCACAGTGGGTAGCACAAATCGCCTCATAGCAAGAAGGTCGCTGGTCGCTCCCTGCGTTCGCGTGGGTTTGTGTGTATGGGTTTGTGTGTATGGATGTTTCCCAGTGATGGGATGCAACTGGAAGGGCTTGCGATGCGTAAAACACATGCGGGATAAATTGGCGGTTCATTCCGCTCTGGCAACCCCATTTTAATAAAGGGACTGACCTGAAAAGAAAATGATTGAAGTCATCAGAATATTTCTTCAGAAAAGGTTTCATTCAGATGAGCCAGTTTATCTTATTTTTTTTACTACACTGAACATAAAAATGTTTTTAAAAGTAGGACTTACATGTTGTATTTTTTCCTGTTGGAAGTCTTTCCTATAAGTTTTAAACTTTCCTATATCATTTAAACTATTTTAATCACCAAAAAAAAAAAAAAAAAAAAAAAAATTAATCACTCACTTACTTTCATTTGGCTTATTCTCTGCTTTATCAGTGGTCACCACAGTGGAATGAACTTTCTAATTATTCGCTACTTCACTAAAAAGCATTATGAGCAAAAAAAAAAAAATAATAAATTAAATAAAAACATTTTAAAAACTAGTGCAGGGCGATGCAGTGGCGCAGTAGGTAGTGCTGTTGCCTCACAGCAAGAAGGTCGCTAGTTCGAGTCTCGGCTGGGTCAGTTGGCGTTTCTGTGTGGAGTTTGCATGTTCTCCCTGTGTTCGCATGGGTTTCCTCCGGGTGCTCCGGTTTCCCCCACAGTCCAAAGACATGCGGTACAGGTGAATTGGGTAGGCTAAATTGTCTGTAGTGTATGAAAGAGTGTGTGTTGATGTTTCCCAGTGATGGGTTGCAGCTGAAAGAGCATCCTCTGCATAAAAAACATGCTGGCAGTTCATTCCACTGTGGCGACCCCAGATTATATAACGGACTAAGCCAAAAAAAAATGAATGAATGAACACTAGTGCAATCTTACATACAGAAAATACAGGTTTACAATGTGCTGATCAGAAATAGGATCCAGTACCAAGCTGGGAGTAGGGGGTGGGGACTTAATCAGAAAGAGCAGGGTCAAGCTGAAGAGTCTGAATATGTTTGTGAAGGGTTTCCCACAGTTTCATCAAAATAGTGCTAGGTCTGTGAAGAGAGTACCTAATTTTCTTTACATTTATAAAATAAAGAATATTTCTTATCCAGCAAGTGTGGGAAGGAGGGTAATGGCTTCTCCAATTTAGAAGAATTAATAGCCTAGCCAGAAGGGTTAAGAAGGCTATAAGTCTACAAAATGAGAGGGTAAAGTATGGCCAGGTGGGAGAACCCCAAATTAACCAATAATTAGACAAGGTGGAATATCAACAGTGGTAATACAATGAGAGGAACATTTGCCTCTAAAAAGAAAGCAGGGAAGACAGGACTAAAACATATGGATAAGAGTAGCTGAACCAGAATGACACCTGTCGCATTTAGGGTCAATAGACAGGTTGATGCGAGCATACACTCCAAAAAAATGTTTTGAATGAATGAGTTGTGTGGAACTCAGCATTTTTTACAGTGCACCTGCTCTCTGGTACATTTTTTTTTACCGGCGGTTACCCTTCCAGCCACAACCCAGGACTGAGAGTACAACCATTTAGAGCTATACAGAGGAAACTCATATGAGCATAAGAACATGCAAACTGCACACAGAAAGAGCTCTTGGTCCAGCTGGGATTCAAACCAGTAAGCTTCTTACTTTAGGGTAGGCAATTGGTTACCATTGCTGCCTCAAATCAAGTACTGCGGTATTTTGCTAAATATTTTGGCATTTAAACATCTTTGAATATACAGATTTAATATGGCATTTAAACAACTTTCATAAAATCATGTAATATTGTAAATGAACAAAACTGATCACAAAGATATGAAATAATATTTGACATCTAAAATCCTTTAACTATGAAAAAACAAAACATCATGTCATTTAAACAACATTAATTATAACATATATTGTGGCAGTTAAAGAACATGCACAAAGGTGTAAAATATAACACTTCAACATTGTCGATTACAAAAAACTAAATCATGATATAATGGCATCTGACTAGCTTTAGCCATTTAAGATGCAAGCCATTTTGACCATTTCGAACAAACAATTATTTACCTAAAAAGAAAACCAAATATATGTAATCTGAAAAATTTGACAATTTCAAATATATCCAAACTTCTAACTACTGTTCATCAACAGGACTTTCCAGGTTATTTCCATCCTGCGGTCCACCACCCTGCAAGGCCTCTTCTTTCATTTGAAGTGTTTGTGTTCCTAAGTCTTGAAACAGCTTCACTATCCCTGCCTTCTTCAGACTTCCATGGAAGGTTCTGGAAGCAAAAGCGTACAACACAGGGTTGACTGAGCTACTTATAAAAGCAAGAGATCCAAAAATGAAGATAGCGCTATCTGATATAGCAGATGCTTCTTCTGATTCTCCTCTTAGAATATCCACCAGACTTATTACATTAAGGACATGATGAGGTAGCCAACACAAAATGAAGGCCACGACCACTCCACCAATGAGGAAAACGGATTTCTTCTTGGCCCTGAAGCGCACCTTTCGGAGCTGTGCGGCAACTTGGCAGTAACAGATCGCAAGTGTAAAAAATGGAATGACAAAGCCAAGAAGAGTCTCCAAACACATACAAAAGACTTCAAAAGACAAGGAGTTGTAGACCCGGTGCAGGCAGTGTCCTGTGCCATCATCCTCATCATCTAAAGACTGGGTCAGGATGACTGGAATCCCCAAAATTAATGACAGGATCCAGGTCACTAGCAGTAGTCTGAACATGGCCGTCTCATTTTTCCAGGACAGCATCTTGAATGGGTACCTGATAGCCAGGAATCGCTCCACACTCATGATGGTGATGATGAAGACGCTGCTGTACATGCAGGAATAGATGATGTAGACCATGGCTTTACAGGCAGCCTTTCCGAACACCCAGGACCGGGCCAGCGAGTAGATCCACAGCGGTAAGGTGATCAGCACCAGAAGGTCTGCAATGGACAGATGAAGGATGAGCAGCACCGTGTGTGAACGCTGTTTTACATGCTTCAGGATGGTCCACACCACCAGCAGGTTCCCCGGGGTGCCCACTAGAAAACACACGGCCAGGATCACACAGGCAGCAGTGCTCCCTGCAGTCGACCAACCATCCTGCTCTGCGTCAGTGTCACCAGATAGAGAGGAACTGTTCATGTTGTCCAGTTTCAGAGAATCACAGTTCTGACTGAAACTGCATTTGAGTTCCGTATGTTTTAGCTTGCAAAGCAACCCATGTTTTTGACAATATGACAGAAAGAGGAGGAGACAAGTGGCATGCCCACGCTTTACAGAAGTCATTTCTTTCGTAATTATGTTGTGCTTTACCTTCTGAAAACTGATCTGTATGAACAAGCAGGATACAGATTGAGATAAGTAAGAATTTACTGTAAAACAAAACCAAAAGGACAAATGCAGGGAACCTGGGAATTGTCATGACTTTGTCAGAAATGAGTCACTATCACACACGAGCACCACCCTCCAGAGTTTCTGTCAAAAATACAAGGCCTTTACAGAGGATGCAGTAAGGATACACTAGGATCAGGGGTGTTGCCATCAATTCTGGGCCCTATGAACAAATATTAGAAGTGAGCCCCATAAGTGAAGAGCGGGGGGCAGTGTCCTAAGTAAAGGTGGGGGGATTCCCAACATTCCAATCTACCAATCATATTTGATGAAAATTGTTACAGGGTTAAAAAAAAAAAAAAAAGGTTTTCTACAGTTCTTATTCACCAATCCTTTCCTCCATGTTCTAGGGGTAAGTTATGGTTAGGGTTATGTTTTAGGGTATTGACTGGGTCAGGACAAAGTATTAGGAATGAACTCTTGTCACTTATGTGGGTAAAGTTGACGGATCCAGTTTGGGCAAGTAGACTTGAGCACTGTCAAGTCTACATTACATGAAACATGAAAGATGACAAAAGTAACAATATGCAGTTAAAATAAAAGGACATTCATGAACATCTCCAAAAGAAACTTGACTGTTTAAGAATGTGGGCATGACACGGTGAACTCGGACAAAACTAAAACCCCAAAATCACAAACTTCTCTGCAATATAGTGCACTCAAAAATTATGTTTGTTGAAACGACTTTTTTAAAATGAGCTAAAACAACACAACTTTTCAATTTTTGGAACAACTTAATTGTTTTATGTTCAATCCACTTAAATTTCAGAAACTAATAAGTTAACTTAATTCCTTCATGTTGTCTTAACACAAATCGATTGTGTGAAACCCAGCATTTTTACGGTGTAAGTCAAAAACAGTATGCAAGCTGTGTACGTCTGTGTTCAACTGCTAATACTTCAATTGAGATTCTGCATTTGTGGCCAAATGATTAGAAAGTCAGATTGGTAATCCATAGATTGCAGGTTCAATTCCAAGTACCCAGCAGTTGAATTTGGGGGAGTGCAGCAAGTGCCACCTTCAGTATCCATTGTGTTGCCTTTGAGCAAATCCTAATTGCACTGCAAGCAATGGCCACTTCTCTGGGTGTGTGTAGGATGTGTATGTTTTCACTTCTCACTCATAATGTGTTTATGCATTTGGATGAGTAAAATACAGAAGACAGGTTTCAATTTCATGGGTATACTTGACAATTTTCACTTCAGTGCACAACTGGACACCTCACTTTTCTATATGAGGCCTTTTGAGAATATTTATAAATGGAAGTGAAGTGACAAAACTGATGCTGGTAGGTCATCATGCGACATGTTGAAAATATCATTCCCAAATTCATGTTGTCATTCTGTCGAGTGACCTACAAGCATCAGTTGTGTCACTTCACGTCACTGCTCATATTCATCTTATATAAAACATACCTTCTCATACCCATGAAGAAGCACCTAATCAGACAGTTTGCAATTTTGGATTCACTGTGTATAAATACACTGATCAGTGCGTTCATCTAAAATGATTGACATGTTGGATGGTTACAAAGACACATGGATAAGTCAATAAGTAGCTGAGCCGCTCCAGTCCCACATAGCAAAATTTCTCTGGCTCACACAATCAGCTTTTGCCTGGCCCATATGCTGCCGTGAATTACGGTACACGATTGGACCAAGTCTGACTTCCACACAAGGGCCAAACATGGACCACGTCTGGGCCAAGTCTCAGCCAAGTTAACAACCCATAACTAGGCCTGAACTGGGCCAGATATGTTAGTGTGCCACGACTGCAAGGAATTTGATAAACCTGTGAAGCATTTTGCTTTAGGCATGCTATGGGCGTGTTTTTTCTCAAAGCGACCTGATTGGTAGATTTTTTTTCTTTACACAAAAATGATTTAAATGTCATGATACGCCAAACTTACGTGGCCCACAGTTTAATTTTACATTTAGTCCAAATACTACATTTGATAACTGGCACAAGTCTTTAAGACGGTGCCACCTCCACCAAACCCGGGTCATATTTGGCCCACATGCTGTATGCCAGTGCCGGACTGAAGATTTAATGTCATGATACATTTCTAAACAAGCTCAATTTGTTTCAGATGAATGTGGAATATTTGATCAAAGTTCTACTGGTTACATATTTATTCATTCTGTGTGTCACTATTTCGTCCATTTTAGAAATTAAACTTGCTTAATATTTATATTTAAGTGCATGTAAAAAAAAAAATCTAGGTTTAAAATGAAAACGAAAATAAGAAAACGACAAAGTCCTCTGAACCAGAAGTGTTATAGTTTTTTTTAAATAAAGAGGACTTTATCCATGTGAATGTGACAGTAGCGCCATCTGCTGGTCACATTTCATACATACCCAGACTGCTGGAGCAGGCAGATGTGGGTCCCTGTTGTTTCGTGTGAATCTAATAGTAGGAAAAAGATATATGGTGGAATTGAAACTCTGATAAACCTGCTATTAACATTTTAGTAGTTATAAATGTAAAAAATCTCTGCAATGCATATAAGTTATATTTGATTTTGTTTTGAAAGCTTACATAATGTGCCTCCCTCTACTGGACGCACAAGGAACAACAGGGGTTTAAAGCTGCCTGCGCGCCTGGATCTGTCAGCTCCCGCTCTGTGTAGCCCCCCATATGTCGTGGATCTTCTATTAAAAACGAGGTACTTATCAAAATCTTAAAATTTCTCTAATATAGTCATACTTCTAGCTAGCGCATTTGACCGATGGGGGTTTTTTCAAATCAAGCATACTTTCCATGCAAATTTCATTGTTGATTTAGAGTTTAAAACAACAGAGTGAGTTATGTCAGCTGCAGGAGATTAGCTACTGGATAAGTTATAGTTTGTTTTAGTTCATTACAGTAATTTTATTCACATGAAAAAGGTTTTCATGATTCAGAATTTTTGTGTCAGAGGGTTTTACAGCTGGAAAACTACAGCTGCTGTTATTGACTTCATACATTGCAGGAGGAGAGAGAGAGAGAGAGAGAGAGAGAGAGAGAGAGAGAGAGAGAGAGAGAGAGTTAACACAACAAATAATTTTATACTGTTTTAACTTATTTTAATCAGGTTTTAACTATATTTTTAGTTATTTGCAGGTTAACCTAAAGTTTCAAGTTCAAGTTGCTTCATAGGCATGGCATTCGGTACAGTATTGCCAAAGCACTTCAAATATGTAATATATTGAAAAAATAAAAATAAATAAATAAATAAAATAATAATGATGCAGTAGATAAGAAATAATGACAAAAAAACAGAATACATTTGATAAATATAATAATAATAATAATAAAAAGTTTAAATTATTTAAATAAGATACAGGAATTTACATTAACCATTTCTTATGGTGTGTAGGGTGTAAACATATTATATTAATTGTATGTTTCACAGCTAGTCTAGATGTCAATTCATCCTCTTCAAGTACATAGTAAAGTTTTTCTGAGTCATTTAAATTAAAAAATGAATTAGTCAATGTTTCAAATTGGGGGAAAATATTTCTCTAGTCGTGGTGTATTTGGGGCAGAACAGAAGGAAGTGTGTTTCATCCTCTATTTGGTTTGTGTCACACTGTTTACATAATCTCTGTTCTTTAGGAGTCCAGGACTGTGTATGTCTGCCCTTTTCTATTTCTAGGTCATGATCACAGAGGCTGAATATAGAAAGAATGTGCTTTTCTTTTAATTGTTTTAATGATAAATAATTTGCCTGCTGTGTGGTTCTGTTTCGGGCCGAAGAGCATTGAAGTTTAGTCTGGAGGTTGAATTCAGTTTTTAGTATTTAATCATATGTATATTTTAATGTATTTGTATTTGTAATCTGTTTAGTCAGTTTGATTGATGTAAGTTGAGATGACTCGAAAAGCTTATTTGAATGAGCTAAAAATTTAAGGCAGCAAAAAATTGTACACAGTCTGATGCTGAGGCTTGTTGTCAAACAGATTTCCATTTTCAACCAAAATGCAACCACTGACTAATTTTGAGGTTCAACATCGGTCAGTCTGTTAATAATTCTAAAGATAATTCCTTAAATGTATATAGTGCTTTTCTAGGTACTCAAAGTGCTTTACACATTTTTTGGGGGGAATCTCCTCATCCACCACCGGTGTGCAACATCCACCTGGACGATGTGAACGCAGCCATTCTGCACCAGACCACACCCCAGCTTATTGCTGGAGAGGAGACAAAGTGATGAAGCCAAATATGACATGAGTATAAACAAAGACCAGAATACCATTAAACCCCAACTCTTAAACAAGGACATCCTGGGATTTTTAATGACCAGGCAAAGAAAGTCAGGACCTCAGATTAAAGTCTCATCTAAAAGACGGCTGACAGAATAGCATCTTCTTCACTTTACTGCAGCATTAGAACTCACATCAAATCACACCATGGGGTCAGCACCCCTTGTGGCCACTCTAACACCTCTTCCAGCAGCAACCTAGTTTTCCCGTGTGGTCTAGTCTTCCATCCAGGTACTAACCATCTGCAGCCCTGCTTATCTTCAATAAGGACAACAATGTGAGAGCTGCAAAGAGCGTTTGGGTTCTGACATCAATCTGATTTTATTTTGCAATCAAAAATTCAATGTCTGACCAATGTTGGAGACATGAACCCAATTATTCACTACAGTAAAATAGATGTCTAACATCAGTGTGATGTTGACATCCGATACCTGCTGGGATAAGACTTTACCTTCATAATTTGTTTGTTTGTTTCCCTTCTTTCGTTTTCTTTCTAAATGTTGTAAGTAAATTGAGAAAAAGACTTAACAGCTTATAGATAACTATCTTTATTAAAGACTTTTGTTGCTTAAATAGAAAGCGAGTAGGCTACTGACGATGATGATGATAAATGCCATGTTTTATTTCTGACTTATATAGTATGTTTGAGTCAGTTAAGGGTGAGAGGAAACTCTTCTACAATCGGTTTATTTTGCTGTTTTATTGTGGTCTGTTTATTGTGCACGATTTGTTTCTGTTTGATAACTTAAATAAGTTCAATGATTTAACAGAAGATTAAAATTAGCAAACTTCAGTGGCTCTATTATTGTTTTGGTGAAAATGTAATGTCAATGAGCCTGAAATGCAGCAGTCTGTCAGTGCATTAGAGACTGCTGGAGTGCAGAAACGGCCCTCATGATGAATGCATTGTGGAAGATCAGGAGTCTTTACAGGTCCATCGGGGAGGACGACTTTACTGGTGGAAGCAAAGGAGGACAAGACTGTCAGACTGAACAAAAGCTGCAGGACTGATGGATGAAAGAGATGATGGTGGACATCAGCAAACCTGCATTTACTGGCACATCCAATACAGCGTCATGGACCATTTACAATACAAAGACACAGACTTTGGCAAAGTGAAGGGAACTAATGCAAAAGTCTAAAAGTCTAGAGAGTCCAGGACAAACACTCAGCACAGTGTCAACATGACAGAAGCTCTTATATTACCGCTTGCATAAATCACTTAGACTAAAAGGTTTGTCAGTTTTGTTTTCTTCAAGAGCACCTACTGTATAACTGTCTGTTACACCTGGCGCCTGTTGGGAAATTAGTGGAACAGGTCCATTATCCTTCATCTGAGATCCAGAGAACCTGTTTTTTGTTTATAGGTAAATAGATATATACAGTGTGCATACACAGAGACTCTTCTGTAAAATAAACACTCATAAGTAGTCATTTTTAATGTTTTATTTTTACTATGCAGTGGTCACATAATTTGAAGCAAGAAAAAACTTAGAAAAACAGAGGTGTGCCATTATGTAATCAGGCAAATGGTCAAATTTTGGTTAGAGAACCAGAACATAAACTTGCCTGGATCAGGTTAGGTTACGTGGAGCAAAAGTAACTTTGTGATGAACGGTCTTAAAATCCTCAGACCACTTTCACTGTGCGTTATAAACTCTGAGCTAGCAGAAACTAATCTGAAACTTTTCTGCAGTGGTGGAAAGAGTACTGAAAAATCATAATTAAATAAAAGTGCCATTACTTACCTAAAAAAAATGTGTAAGTGGAGTATAAGTATCGGTTGTAAATATTACTCAAAGTATGAGTAAAAAGTAGCCGTTTCAAAAGTATTCAAGAGTAGTGAGTAGTGAGCTGTAAAAAGCTGATGCGTTTACATGTAATTGTTGCGTGTGTGTAAACGTAACATTCTGTAGTGCATCTAGTTATTACCAAGCATTAATATTAGGTTTGATTTAGGTTTTGATCTCAGGTGACCAAAATTCAATGTCTAGCCAGCCTAAAGACAACATCATTTTGATGTCCAATAATGACGATGATATTTGGTCGATTTTAGGTTGTTAGAAAGTGACCAAAATCCAAAGTCGAGCCAACATCTTAAACCAGTGTCAAACTGATGTCAAATACTGATATTTATTCCAAAATACAACATCTATTAACCAAAATACAACATCTGATAGACGTCATAGTGGTAATGTCCAAACAACATCAAGCTATCATTAGATGTTGATATTTGGTTGGTTTTAGGTTGGACATTCGACATTGACTATCTACAGTATGTGCGATTTGATTGGACAGGAATTGCAGGACTGATTTTTCTAATCCTGATAGACAGGGGGAAAAGTAGTGACTGCAGGCTGAAGGAAAGTAGTGGAGTAAAAGTACTGATACAGCACTAAAAATGTACTCAAAGGAAAGTAAAAGTACACATTTTTAAAACTACTTAGAAAATTACAATTCCTAGGAAAAATACTCAATTACAGTAATTTGAGTATTTGTGATTAGTTACTTTTACTCCACTGCGTATCTGGATGTATATTGAGTAATTGCATGACAACCTAAATACTCAATCGGTTTTCATTTTACATACCGAGTTTTTCCCACTTCATCATAATCATCATATTTGGCTGTAATTGAATTAAAGACTGATGGTGAAAGCATGTGCCCTAATAAAATGGCCAGTGCCCTTGTAAATGCGTTTAATTACAGTTTTTCTTTATATGTAAGTGTATTAATTAAGAGTGATCATCTGAGAATAAAGACTTTATTCTCTGTGCTGGGACAGACTGTCCAATGGAGTTAGTCTCCAAAGAAATGCATTGAGATTAATTGACTTGCTATCTCTCCCTTTGGCAGATTGACATGGAGCATGTGGAGAAGCAGGGAAATGCACCTCAGACAAGTACATCACAACCAATTAGCTTGCATGTAAAAATGACATTGTAAGCAAACCTTTTCAATACATTGAAGTTACTGTCTATACTTTATTCCTCCTGTTTGAGTGAGGATTATGTATGCAGTGTTTAATGAGGATTATTTATGCATTGTGAATCCCTTATAAATGACACTTAAAGGCTGTTGTATTCTTAACAGAAATTAAAGGAAAATGAACAACAGTGATTCAGCACAAAAAAAAATCAAAATACAAAAATAAGGAGGTGCAGTTGATTGAAATGAAATAATAAATCTTTGCAATCTCACATTCTGAATACCAAGTGGCAAAATACGTTTTGTGCATACAACCAATTTAAGGATAAAAAACAACAACAGAAATAGCCTACAGTTAAAAATAGAGCAACAAGATAAACTGAACTATATTTACTCTATGATTACTAATTTACTTATACTTACGTATAAATGCATGTAAAATGGAATATAAACATACAAAAGTTAGCCAAATTGCGAATCAAAGTTGCTGTTGTTTGTTTATATACTCCACGAGAAACTGAGTTAACAAGGGGTTTCATTATAAGATGTCCAACATAGGATCATTCTTAAAAAACGTAGCCCTATATACATTTGTGGAGATTGCGAATTATGTAGCCAGAGGTTTCATCTTTAAAACAAACGCTACAGGGCAGTATGACGCCATTCCTTTTGGCACATACCAGCTGACCGTATACCTGCATGTGGATAGCTTTTCCGCTGTTACCAGTTTGTCTTGTAGCTCGATGTGTCTGTCGGTTGACTTGTAATGGAAAGCGGAGTCGACCACGACAACAGAGTTTGAGTCAGTTAAAGAACAGTTCCGGAAAGCAGGTAAAACAAAAGCCAAAAAACTTAATAAACAAGTAAATAACAGGGTGAAAATGTGGTAAAATCTGAACATGGTAAAAATTAAGGGGCTATTCTTTTCCTGGATTGCTTTTCAAAACACTGCGGTTGGGTTTAGGGAAGTGTTGTGGATGGGTCAATAGGTGCTTTTCAAAGTCGGTTGGCCAGTCTGCCAGTGAGTTACTAAAATAGGGGTGTGTAATCAGATTGAACCTGGATTGAAGATGTCATATGTGATATACTGTACAGAAATGTCTCACATTGGAAAGAAATATTGATATATCTCTAAAACACGATATATCGCCTAGCCCTATCCAAAGGTACATTTTAGTATTTTAGCACTTATATACACCTTTGAGGTATAAATATGAACTCTGGTTACAAATGCATACCTTTCAAAAAAAGGTAGTGCCCCAGTGACAGCTCCTGTACCTTTATTTGAGTCTATAACAAGCTGACAGAAAGCAAGCTGATGCCTTAACAAACAAAGTGGAATCTGTGTTATCTAAGGGGCAAAAATCTCTGTGATATGTTAAGGCTTAGGTTATGTGAACCCTGACTAAAACTACAAGTGTCCAGCAGTTGGTGCTACAAACCAAGCTTGTGCAGCACTGACGGAATACATGCAACTTGTGCATGTGTTTGAAAGTGTAACATTCTGTAGTTCGTTTAGTTATTGTTTAGGGTCATTTGGTGAATTCAAGAAGTATAAAGAAAAATAGGCTGTTTTTTTAAAGCTAAAAGTTCTTACAATACAGCACTAGCAAGGTGTACATAATAACGTAGCCACTGAGTGTAGTTTCAGTATTTACTGCAGAATCCTTAACTCAAATGTAACAATAGAAAGCATATCCAGCAAGCATTTTTTGTTTTTAAATGTCTAATAGATAAAACAAGGCTAAATTTAGGCTGTCAGTGTTAATCTAATAAACATCTAAGAATAGGCCAAAACTAGACTCGTCATCAAATAAGCAGAAATGAATGACTACACATATAAAGTCTGTCTAATCTGTCTATTTGATGACTAGTCTAGTCTTGGACTATTCTTCAGATGTCTATTAGATTTTCACCTATAGCTCAAATTTAGCCTTGATTTAGCCAAGCTGTCTACGTTCAGATGTCTATTAGACGTCTATTAAACACAAAAACTGTTTGCTGGCAAACCATTCTCAAAGGGTTTTGTGAAAACCCCATTGATGCCGATGTCCTCAGGCTAAAACGGTTTGGTAATTTTAATTGAGCATTTCCCACACTGCTTGTGTTTCCACTTATATCAATGCGCATGTAAACCACATACTGCTCATCCCTAAAGCCAAGTAGCGTCATTATGAACAATGAGTCTGTTTGTTAGCTCAGTTGTTGTGCAGAAATTGAATGCTAGCCCACAGGGTTTGTGAGATCTCCAATTCATGCCAATCATAAAAGATTAAAGACAATAACAGAAGCACACATCGGTTACAGGTACAAAGCAATCGGTCTTTATTACTTCTGAGTGAACTTGTTAAGATTGAAAAATAAAACACTGGAGTAGACACTCGTAACTCCAACTAGAAGTGGAACTGTTTTTATTATCTTTTGTTTGTACACTTCCAATTTGGTTTGGCAACAAAGAATGGCACTTAAGTGATTCTTGTGTTGACTGGTTAACATGTATAAACATTACTTCCTAAAGGCTATGTCCTCAACGCACCACTGGTGCAACTATTTACAATTTACATGTTGTTTTGTTATACTTATTAATGTAAATAACAGAACTGAAATGAAAAGCTCTCCCATCTCCAAACAGGCAGCAGCAATACCCAGCAACCAGGAGCAGCAGTGCTGGGCAGAGCTGACCTGAGGTCAGTTGTAAAATCTGAATGAATACCATACTGAATGAACTGACCACAGGTCCACAGACTATGAAGACATCAGAAAGAACAGAAACTCTACAACACTGCTTAACGTCTTTAGTGTACTGATGCTCAGAAATCTAGACATGCCTAAAAACATTGGGCATTTGTTCTAAATCAAACCAGCTGAAGTCTGCAGCAAAGTGGGCAATAAACAACACAAAACAAGTGTGTGAACTGATTAATCGCAACAGTTCAGAAGTCTACTGTACACTACTACAGTATTTACAGTTAATAATACAGCTCAAAACACTACTGTATCTTAACACTTGAAGATAAATACAAGAATATTGGTTCAGTTTTATAGATCATTCGTAAATTTATATAAAAGCTATTGAAGCTAAAAGTGGCTTAAAAAGAGAAAGAGAAACAGTGCTATCTGGAGTGCTCTGTGTGAGATTTACTGGCACTCAGGAGAAATAATAAATACTAGCTCTGAACTCCTCTTCAGTGTGGCAACGTCTTCTCAATCTGAAGCAGATGGCTCTTAAACCTGCAGGGCGAAGCGGGAGAGAATAACACACATTACGAACAGGTATGTTTGCTAAAGCTCAAGGATGAAGCATATATTTATATACAACATTTTCAATATGCTGAGTGAGTGTATCAGTGCACATGCACAGAGCTGTGATCATGTGATGGAGCGAAAGCCAAACTTACTGCAGCAGCTCAGACTATAGTAGAGGGTCCGATCACCTGAGCATCCCCCTGTGATGAGAAGGACATGAGCGATGGGGTTATTAAGGGTTAAAGGGGAGGCTCTGATTGGATCATAAGGTGATCAGTGTCTTCCTGAGCGAGTGCATTAGTGCCAGCAAAAGCATAGGTGTTATGACATGTCTTTGCATCAGTAGCACTGATGAGTCGTTTGATGTAGCCATGAAAATGTGCTCGGGCTGCATCACATTTTGAACTATGATCGATATTGCGATATGGCTCAAAGCAGTAGTTAAATGTAGCAGGCTGAGTTAGCTTATGAGTTAGAAATAGAGATTAAGCTGAAAGAAAATTAATGAATAAATGAACTAACTATTTTTTTCTTTGTGTAATGCTAGCACATAACTATTTTACCAGATACTAGAATAAATGCTTAACTGGGCTAATTTGATTAACTAGGCAAGTCATTAGATAACAGTGCTTTGTTCGGCAGCCGACAGAAAAAAACAATTCTTAATGGGGCTGCTTTATCTCAGCTTACTGAAAAGAAATAACTTTTAACTTTCTCCAGAATATAAAAATATTATAGTAAATACTGTAAAGCTGTTCTTGCTCTGTTAAACATTCATCGAAAAATATTTGTAAAAAAACACAAATATTTCACAGGAGAGCTAATAATTTTGCTTCCAACTGTATTTGATCATTTACAGGTCATTGCTCTATTAAGTCACTATATATTTTAACACATGTTACACTTGACCCATCAAAGTGACCGTTAATAAATGCAGTATACAATGCTATACAATATTATATTTGTGCATATACATTAGATTAGTCAGCACTGAAGCCAAATCTGGAGCTAATCTAACAAAATAACTTACAATAACGGTCCAAAAACTAGTACACCCAAATTTATGTCATAGAAAAATACTAAATACAAACTTAAAAAAGAGGGAAAAATCAAGAGAAGAAAAAAAAGGGAAAAAAAATGATATATAAATATATTTATACAACAGTTCTGTCTGGTTCTCAAATCTGATTGGCTGATAGCGTTGCGATGTTCTGCAATATCAGAACTCCTACAGCCTCTTTACCTTTTGTGTATTACTCCGCCCACATACAGCCAGCAAAAAGCAGACTCTACAGATCTAAAGTTTAAAAGATGCACGCTCAACTGTTTAACTGTCAGCTTATGATTTGAATCCAGAAGAAAGTAGTTCCTCATACAAAAGGGTTTTTGAGACTCTCCATTTTTGATCTTGTTTTTATATACACAATTATGCCGTCAAACTGTTGTATAAACGCAATATCACACTCGTAGCAGTGCAATATGGCTGTATATCGGCACTGGTGGGGGCACTAAGGCACTCTGCCTTATATATATGTATATTAATATTTTGCTTGAATTTAATTGTTTTATCTTTCAATTTCTAAATAAGTTTGGTGACTAAAATATTATTTTAATAAATATATAACTGTTTAATAAATCTGTTTTGTTTACCTGCACCAAAAATTATTTCCCATATTCACTGAGAAATCGATCAAAATCTTAATTTTCAAAATGTGGTGTACTCTATTATGCTGAGCACTGTATATTGCAGGAAAACAGAATATCACAATGTCAGCATTTTCTAATATTGTGCAGCCCTGAACACATGTAAAACCAAGTAAACACGAGCAATACTAACCGCTGAGATATACTGGCTGTTAAAGCAGGGCTTCTCCTGCGTGGGAGAGGTGATGGAGGAATAACACGAGGAGTCACAAGGTGAGCTGGGCTCCTCAGACAAAGCCTCAGGAAGGTGACTGGACACACAGCCGCTGTCTGATCCGCTAGAGCCACTGCCAGACAGACAGTGAGACGACGAACCCGAACTCTCTGTAGCTACAAACACAAATCAAATTTCAGTGTCACATCTGAGAACATGCATGTTCCAATCCACATGTTAGGACACTTACTCATAGAGGGCTGACTACTGGTCTCATGCTCCAGCTCGTCCTCCTCGATGCAGGGGCCAATCAGAGGTCTCTCCCCCGCCAACAGACTTTGGCTGCTGTACATGTGCAGATTCAAGGGCCCCAGCAGGGTGGATGAGGAAGGACCGCCAGACACCGGGGTCCCGCTGACGGGGGTGTTTACTGCAGCTCTTTTGAATGGGTTTGAGTGGTCAAACAGAGAAACAGCAATGGAGGCTCTCGTTCTAGCTCCTGTAACAGAAGAAAGAGCACACATACTGTACACTTAACACACAAATACACTTTATTGAACATGTACACAATGACATCACCAATATATTATATAACCGCAGGTTAACTATATGTATATATATAATTAATTTATCTGTTAAAGGCTATTAGTTAGTAGCTAATCAGGTAAAGTAATTATTATCTAATAAAGTTATAGTAACTAAAAAACTTAATCTTTCTGATTTTGATAGTAATTCAATAATGTGCTCCTTTAATAAAGCTGGTCCCACTTTATATTAAGTGGCCTTAACTAATATGTACTTACATAGGAACTAATAATTTGTTACAATGTATTTGTTGTGTAAATACATGTATTTACTGTGTACTTATGCTTGATTAAATACATGTATGTAAATACACCTGTAATTAACTTTTGTAATTACATTTGTAAATACACTGTTGACCATCCCTTACACCTTAACCCCCCCTAAACCTACCCATGCCACCAAACCTGTCCATAACCCAACCTCTATCCTAACTCAAAAGCACCACAAGGGTTCTCAAATACATTATGAACACAGTAAGTACATTGTATTTATTTTTTTGATATACATACATAGTAGTTAAGGACACTTAATATAAAGTGGGACCATAAAGCTTATTTTTCTGATTATTTTAAAGTAAAAATAGTATTCTGGTTATGAATGGACATGAAGTTAAATCAATATGATATGGTTGTCATGTTAAACAGACTTACCTCTGCCCTTCATAATGTAGTCGATGGCTCTGTCGTTGATTGCAGCATCACTGGGTTTAATGTCCAGGAAGGGTTTATTGCCCACACCCATTGAGACCATCTCCTGCATTCGAATTTCTGCAGAAAGATATGTAGCAAAATATATATAGTTGTATATAAACAGGCGACAAAGAATCCCATTATAGCAAGTGGCGGGATTTCACCTTAAGGGTGATTTCCGTCTGTCACAAAACAAGCAAAGAAAACAATCCGGTTTGTAGTGACTACTGCACAAAATCATATTGTCGGAGATGACAGATGAAGGCAAGACACTACCTGCATGCGAAAAAAAGTTTGCTCAGTAGTGTGAAGGTTTTTTTGCCTTCTGTAAAAAGATGGAAAGCTGAACACTCCTGTCTGTTTAAACAGTTTAATTTTATTTGATCAAAGTTCCTCTTCTCAAACTCTGCACATTTTTAATATGAGTGTGATTCATAGTCCAAAAAAAAGGCTCTGACTAATAGTAATACTGATTTCAAAATGATCATAGAAAATGTTGAGACGCTCATTATCATAAATTATTTTTGACATGATAATCATGTGGTAAAAATCATTACAATCCAAACTTCAGAATAAACACAGAAAGATTATAATTAAGATGTGAAACAAGAATTACAAGATGAAAAGATTAATTATGTCTAAATACAGGTTGAGAGCTGCCTCAGATTTGCCTTTTTTTTTCTCACACTCAAAATATCAAACTGCAGAAACTCAATACTTCTAAAACTCAAATCTGCCTGAGGTCTTCACAGACGAACTGCTGAAAAACACAAGTCTTCATATATGCTCAGATGTTATGTGACAGGACATATTATCTGCAATTATGCTTTCATTCTGATTTGTTCCTTCCAGCTAAACAAAGCAAATTCAATGAATTTCTTTAAGCTCAAGCGCTTCTTTTCTTTCTTTCTCACCTTTGTTTCGCGTGGCCTGCTGCCACAGTATTCGTGCGATGTCGCAAGTCCAGGCATGTTTGATGTCAGCAGTGCTGGACTGGAGAATGTAGGTCTGGTTCTTTGAAGTTCTCCTCCGAAACCAAATTTCAAACCTCAGACTGTTCTCACCTGACGTCTCTGTCATACCCACATCAGCCGTCTAAACAGACAATCAGAGCTATTATATTCGCATATACACCAAACTGTGAGGACATATGACTACTGTATAAGTTGCACCATGTCAAGTTGCAGGATGTCAAAATAGTGTTGAGGAGAAAAAAATCATACGTTGGTGTGCTATACTCATGGCATTTTATGTGACGTTTCAAACTGAAATTATGTAAAATATGCTATAGGTAGCCCTAAATAAATTTAAATACTCCCCTCAAATCCTTCTCAAGTATTTATAACAGAAAAAAACAATAAATACGCCACTGTAAATATACTGACATTAACTGAAAATAACTATTATAAACATTAAACGTAAACAAACTATTTTAAAGCAAAACACTAATCTTAAAAGCACAAGGCATCTCATTGTTATGGTTTGCAGGCGACCAAAATAAAGCTTAAAGCTAAATTCTTAAAAATAAATATAATGCAACTCAACATGCATGCAACCAAGCGCACTTGTTGTTTCTGTGAACACATGTCCTTTAGGTGCTCACCTTAAAAGAATGCTTGTATATGTAAACATCTAGTCCACCCTCGATGCGCTTGGGTTTGCTGAAGAGCACTAGGTCCTCAAATAGGAACACGTGTCTCTGGCACTTCTTTCTGCCATATGAAATCGTGAACTCATCTTGACGAACCAACTGTCCTTGCTCTTTTAGGTTCACCTAAAAGTGTTTGAAAAAGACAACATGAGCAGAGTAGAAGATTTTTTTTAAGTCAGGAGGAGAGTTGCTGTAGCTGGAGACAAACTTACATCACAATCTCTGATAGCGTCCATGGCGAGTAGATCATTGCCATGGCGGAGCTGAAACTTGACCATCTCTGCTGCGGCTCGCAGGTATGTAAGTTCCTGCTCCTGGACCTCGCTCACTTCTTTGATCAGGTCTTTCAGCAGAAGAGCGTATTTACTCATGCGCTGGATGGGCTTCAGCAGGTACGATGCCAGGTCCATCTTATCTCCCAGCTCCATCTGCTTATGCTGGAATAAGAGAGTTGCTGATGATCTTGCAATTTGCACACGAGTCTAAACTTTAAACCAGGATTAAAGGCCTCAATATATTCTTTTTCTTTCTTAGTTTATTTTTTTTCTCACTCAGGGGTAAGAACAGTTTAAAATAGCTGAAGAATTGCATACTATTTTCGAATATACTCATACACCTGTTGCAAAAGTGCCATTGACCAATACTATCTAGATCAGGGGTGCTCAATCCTGTTCCTGGAGATCTACCTTCCGGCAGATTTTAGTTGCTACCCATATCAAACACACCTGCCTGTAATTATCAAGTGGTGTTCAGGTCCTAATTAATTGGTTCAGGTGTGTTTGATATGGGTAGCAACTGAAATCTGCAGGAAGGTAGATCTCCAGGAACAGGATTGAGCACCCCTGATCTAGAATTTGAAGTTTCGAGCGTTCCATCCAAAAACTTTTTTTAGCATGCTTTCAATAAAAATTCCACCATATCTTAAATATAGCTTAAAGTTTAAGTGATGTGAAGTTTGCTTCTAAAAGAACTAAAAGCTTCTGATATGCGGTCTACAGTAGGGTCTGGATCTAGTTACTCACCTTGAAGAAGTTGTTTCCATGGCTGGCCAGGAGTGTGTCTGATTTTGGCTTGTTCTTGCTGTATAATGCATAGAGGCTAAACTGGTCTTGCTGTATGTTTATATGGGGGAAAAGGAAAAAAAAGCAATATTTTAAATGTTATCTTACACATTTCCGATTTCATGTTTTGAAGAATCACTATTCTTGTTGTAGCGGAAATTAAAGGAGGGAAGATTTTCCCCAAATCATTTCCAGGTTGAGTTTTGTTTGGAAAGGCTTTTTTGTGGTCGGGTAAATGGTTTTATAATGACTTTCAGGTTCATAGAGTGTGTCATAATTTTAGTGCAGATTTTGCTACGCCAAAAACATGTCAAAAGTGATTTCAGCCAAGTTCACACGCTGCTGTAGACCGAATGGTCTGCTCGTCTTCTACCTCTCTCTTGTCTGTGAATCCTTGCCCTCATTAAGCAGAGCTCTTAAGGTGAGCCAGCACTATGAGTTGACCACAACTGTTAGGAAAATAGTCTGGTGGCCTTTCACTCATTTAAAGAGCCCTGAATCAGCTAATTTCTCAGTTTCATAGAGGATAAAAGGAGAGAAAGTGAACTTCAGAGAGAGCACATTTCTGGATTACATTTGACTTGTGCTAGGTCAAAAATGAGTCAGTCAAGAACTGGGAACAGACAAACATTGACAAATTAAGCTTCTTTGTTTCATTTCCAATAAAAATGTGATTCAATCTCTGATGTTTAATTCAGGACTAATGCTTACTACATATGAAAATAGTAAAAAGGTTAAGAAGACATCCGAATTATTATGAAACTAAACCGACTAAACTGAAGTCAAACAGCTGAACAAGAAGTTATTGTGAGAATGAAGGAAGTCTCTTACATGTCGTAGGAAACAGTGGCTGACGCGTAGAGGATGATTACAGCAGCTCTCCAGCTCTTTTAGGAAATACTGACTATGAAAGTCCACCAGTTTCTCCAGATTTCCAAATATGACGCTCCGCTTTCCCCGCAGATCCTGCGGCAGGACAGCGCGCTCCATCTCAGGGAAATAGTTGTCAATGATATACCGCAGGGAACGCACATATTCCCGCTCTGTTGTCACCATCTCATCTACAATGTGTCGTAACTTGCTGTAGAACAAATAAGAGAGAGGACAGTTAGAATACTTTGAAATTTACCATTTTAAAAGAGATAAAACCTTTGTAAATCTGCTTTGTATTGATGGATTTGCTCTTCAGTGTTTGGATTTTCAGCAATGAAAATTAAACCACACTGAACTGAAGTAAACTGAACGTTAACTTCAAAACTGTACTGACAAAGTTTCAGTTTACTAGAACTTCTATTTTAAGCTGCGTTGACAATCTACATTGTAAAAGCGCAAAAAAAATGAAGAAGAACTCAATTAAAGAAAATCTTTTTTTATTATTTACACTTACTTGGATTGCTGTCATTAAATGTACAGAAGCTGAATTTTAAACTCATAATGTTTTTTTAAGAGATACTGGCTGTGTGGCCATGTAAACAAGTGTATTTTAACTTGCTTAGTACTTGTTGTATATGTGTACACTGACAATGAAATAGTTCACTGAAAACAAAATTAGCATATTAAAATATTTTATTTTGACACTGAAGCCTAAAGTATTTGTTATTGGCAATATTAAATCTCACTGCTTTTATTTTACTTTTGAAAAAACTTTAAATGCAGTCTGCTTTGCATTTTTCTTTCAAAAATATGCTAAAACATTTGTAAAAAAGTGTGTGAAAGGATTGTTTGGCTTAACAGCTTTTCTGGTTTTGTAACAATAAAAAACAGGTGTTTTCTCACAGTTTTAAAACATGTTTATCTCTTGATTTACAATGACCAGATTTTTATGACCGCAAGGCGTCTCTCCACTGCCAACCTTCACAACCTAATGACAGCAAACCTGAACAGTCGCTGTTTTCCTGCTTGCAGCCTCTTTGCCTTCTCACAACTTAGCTGAACTTGCTGTGTGTGTATCCACAAAACAAGGCGATGGTTTAGTGTTTACATTAATCTCAAACTAGATTGTTATCAGAATGCATTAAATGTTTGTAATAGCTGGACCACACAGAGCTGAACAGATAGTTTTGAGTTATTTTGCTCTGAAAAACTGTATCAACATCACCTCTGCACTGCAATGTTGGAGAACCTGGGGAATGTGTTTTGACAGGAAGACACACAGATGTAAAGACCTCTTTCAGATGTCTATATAATCGGCTAACTTCATCCATCTTTTCTGTGTGAAGGACCAGAACACAAACACGTTCCCCACCACTTCAAAGCCCAGAGGACCAGCGCCCACCTGGGAAAGTGATCTGCGTTTCAGGCTCTTTCTCAAGGGGGGTTAAGGGGCGAGCAGAGGGACCCACAGCTGGAAAAGACATCCATGGAGACTTAGAAGATTATGGGGCTCTGACAGTCTAATATGAGACAAATTGAGTTTTTTCATGCACACGCGATGCACATGATAATGTTGAAAGTTACAAGATTCATGTATGCCTTTTTATATGGGGAAAGATGTTTTTTTCAAATCAAGGATGTCTGTGTCAGTTACATTTTAACACAAACCCAGGAATATACAGGGGGGGTTGATGCCCAGGGCGAACAAAAATGTAAAGTGCCTTGTTTCCTAAAAAAATCAATGAATATATTTTGGAAATCAATTTCCAGTTTATTTTTGTATTTATCCAGCCAATGCAAGCTAAAACTGCTAAAATGTCTTCTATTGTGTTTAAATCGAGAGAAATGGGTTCAGGTTGGAAACAACAAATGGACCAATGTTCAATTATAAAAAGCCATATATATATATATATATATATATATATATATATATGTGTGTGTGTGTGTGTATGTAAAATGTGAAAAAAATCTGATTTTATGTTTTAAAGTCAATCATAGCAATATTACAAAATGCAGTTCTTGATTTTTAAACCTGAAGGCAAATATTTACGAACGAATTGAAAACAAAGGAAAAAAAACAGTATAAATATAACTATATTTTTATAATTAATGCTATATATAAAATAAAATAGGTGGCACGGTGGCTCAGTGGTTAGCACTGTTGTCTCACAGCTAAAAAGGTCACTGTCTCAAGTCTCTGCTGGACCAGTTGGCATTTCTGTGTGGAGTTTGCATGTTCTCTCTGTGTTTGTGAGGATTTCCTCTGGGTGCTTAGGTTTCCCCCACAGTCCTAAGACATGCACTATAGGTGAATTTATGTAAAAAAAAAATGGCTGTAGTGCATAAGTGTGTGTGTGTGTGTGTGTGTGTGTGTGTGAATATAAAAGTGCATCAGTGTTTCTCAGTGCTGGGTTGTGGCTGGAAGGGCGTCTGCGGTGTAAAACATATGCTGGAATAGTTTTCGGTTCATTCCACTGTGGAGACCGCTGATAAATAAGGTACTAAGCCAAAGGAAAAATAAATGAAATGAATAATAATCCTATTATATATAATTGTATAGTATTTGCATAATTCTTTATTATGTTATCTATATGTAACTATTTATTTGCAGTTGGAAAAAGGTAAAGGAGTCCTTAAGAGGTCTAGTTCCCTGAATTTGTATATCCGTGTCCCGCAGACCCTCTAACAACTCTTGAATGTGTTCTTGAGTTAAAATATAACTCTATGTGTTTCTGGCAGCACAGCTACTCACATTCTGCATCAACAGACTGGTAATGCATTCCTACCCATGTGCGAGCGTGTGTGTGCTTTGTGACAGCTTCACACAGTGGTAGATATATAGTAAAGGTCCGAGACGATGGCAAGCGGACCTCCCTGGTTGATTGTGTTTAGTTTACAGCTAGTGAGTGTGGGTTAGTACTTGTATGTGTGCACTGAGTGTACCCACCTGCCCTTGCTGCGCGTTTCTGGAGCAGGACTCCCGCTGCGGTGTGCATCAATTGAAGACCATCCATGGATGGGTGGTAGTCGTGGACTGTACGGCCTATCAATCACTTCAGTGCTGCTCACCTCCAGACCCTTAATGAACACCCCTGTGTTTCCTCTGCGTGCAGGCTCACTCAAAGTCCTCTGACAGGTCCCGTACTGTGACACAGGCTCACTGCCAGCTGTATCGAAGCTCTGGGTCTTCCGCAAAACCCTGCGGTTTGTTTGAACAGAAGTGCCGCTTGGGCTTGTGGACGCTAGCCCCTCTGCATGTGGGCTCTGAGGAGACTCATCTGTGGAGATGCTACGTGTTAGCCTGTGGGATCTGACAGGGGTGCTGTGGGGGATTCTGTGCTCAATGCTGTATGGACTTCCTGTTGGAGTTCGGACAGTGTCACGGGCATCCAGACGAATGCCTGAAGGGCTACTGGGAGTTGAGGATGTGCTAGAATGTGAGGAAAGTCTATCTCGACCCCAGGCTCCGCCGAACGCTTTCCGACATGAGAAGGAGATGCTACTGCTACGCTCTTGGTGTTTAGTGCTAACATCTGAGTTACGACGAGAAGAGTCACTCCTTACTGACTTGGAGTCGCTGTCACGGCGGGAACGCAGGGCCATCTCCAGCTTCTTTTCAAACATCTGCTTGGTCTCCTGACACTTGGACCAGGCAAACTTCCACTGCTTGAGGCCCTGTTCGCTTTTCAGTTCCCCAGCGAGGTCCTTCATCTCCTGGAAGTGTGCATCAGGGATCGGGGGGTGCTGACTGCGGTAAGTCTCCAAACACGTGATCACGCTCTGACACTTTTCAGACATGCCACAATCCTCCATACTGACACACGCCAAATGACGCATGCCCTCTAGAGCCCATTCATATGCCTGGAAAACAGAGGAACAAAAAGTTATGAGGAAAAAGTAACATTAAATCTAAATTTCAATGTTTTATACTATTGTAGCATTGTTTATATTTTGCTTTCATTTTTGCTCTTTTTTAGCAACTTTACATAGTTTTAGTCACTCTTTTGCAAAATAAAATAAAAATAAATAAAATAATGAGACTTTTGATTTAAAGTATATTTTTGTCCAGTCTGTTTTAAAAAAGTAATACTTTCCAAAGAAACGTGTAAAAATAAATGTAAATGTTAATGTATGTAACCCCAAAAACATATTTTCATTCATATATTCTGAATAAAAACTGCTGCATTTAAAAGAAGAAACAGGACATGGAGGATGAATGAAATACTTCACAATAATATGTTTTATTTTAATTCACATACTCATAAATGACAAGAGTATAAAAGAGACTTTTTTATGGAAAACAACTACAAAAGCAGCGTGAATGAGGGAAGGATAGAGTGAGAATCCTTCCAGCACCTCATTCATATGAAATAAATAGGTTTTTAGCCAAGGATCTGGGAGGTCTGGGTAATCAGTCTTTAACATGCAGCTCAGCCACAGGAGGGCCTATAGTTTCAACTATGTGTGACTGCACTGTCCCACAAAGACAAATGCCAATGGCTTTACTAGCTGTCATTCAATTTAAAAGAAAATCTGAAGGCCTCTTCTCAAACTCCAAGATGCTGTTAGTACATCAACTGAGCAGCACTTTCATTTTTAGCACTTTTTCATCAGCATCCTGGTGGGCAGGTTTCTATAGCGAGCACTCCTGAGGATACAAGAGCTTTAGGTGCTGGAAAATGAGGGGTTAAACTTCTGAAGGGATTAATACTGTTCAAACACAATCCCCTTCTACCTCAAACACACACACACATGCACACTCTCTTCAGTACTGGCTGCAAACACAGGCTTGTGTTTAGACATTCCTGAGAAAGGAGCAAAACTCCCCCTCTTCTCTCTCTTTCTGCGCACACACAACATCTCCATGTCCTTGCTGCGATATGACATGGTGACACTGCTGGCTCCTCAAGTCTCTCTCTCTCAGGTTAGGGTGACACAAAGGCCACATGCCAGCATTTTGCGCCTTCAGCACCCAGATACTGAAGTCTCTCACAAGAGCAGGGGTTAGAGGTTAGTCGCCCACGCTAAGAATACAAACGGCTAAGAAGTCACTGAACTGATAGAGGAAAGAGGCACAAACACAGAAGACACATAAAGAAGCAAATGTGGCATAATTGATGAGTGAGAACCAAATGGTGACAATGAATTTGAAGACCCCTGTTAATAGAGATGCAAACATGTGCACATATTTTGCATGGTTTAGGTTCTTTAAAAGTGCTACAGAAAAATATTAAAATTGCAACATAGTAGAAGTAAAATTGCAACTGTTTTGAATTAATATTTTTATATACTACTGTGGCTCAGTTTACTAATTGTTAATCAGATGGAGGCAGATCTGAATGCAAGCTTGCATGTTTAACTAAATAAACCTAAAAGACTAAAGCTGTGTCCAAATGGCACTCTATACACTATGAACTTATTCACTTACACACTCAACAGCAAAGTATATGTATGTTGTATCATCCCAAATGGAACGCTAATGTGTTGCTTTACTAAGCGGTAATTCAAACTGTTTCCAAGATGACGTTTAAATAAATGACCAAACTACCAAATTATTCTTGCCATGAGTATAAATGCATTCACCATCGGGAGGCGGTATAATCACTCTCGTAGGAGAATACTGTTTTCACAATCCGAAGTAAATAAAGTAATCTAACATGTGCGCCTGAGAGCTCTGCCCAGTCCATCATTCCACACTTGATTTTATCGGCTGAATAAGTGCATCATTCAGGTAATTGAAGAGCACTTATTATTTTAAGAGTTTTTTAGTATAAACGCACTACTTACACTATTTATACTACAAAATGGCGTAGAATAGTGCATAAGTATGCAATCTGGGACGCACCTTAAATGACTGGAGAAGTCCAGCATTGTTCTCCAGATAGAAGTCTGTTGTTCTACCAGAACATTATTTTGATTACAAATTGGGGGGAAATTATGGATGAATTGATCATGATAAGATCATAATTGTGCATTTAGAAAATAAGCATGGTGAATTTCCATTTCATGCTAACTTTATTTAAAACCACTTTAAAATGTTGTTATGCCACAGCATTGTTAACATAAAATACTATGCAGAAATATTATATATTATATATGCAGAAACTATTGTGTCAAAATAAAGATAGAATAATTTAAATTAATTTTATGAATGTTATTAAATGAGTCACAAACTATATTATGCTCTGTAACAAACCACACACACAAAAAAGCTTAATTAAACCAGTGTACATTGATAATAGTTTGGCTTACATTACAGTCATTGACTCCAGAAATCCTCCAGAAGACCTGTTAATTTCCCATTACTACCCTGTGCTGCTAAACTCCTGATGTGTGAAACAGGCACGGGAAACACAAACAGATATAAAGCGCTCTGTTCCTGCAGTAAAACAGCAGCAACAGTTTGCAGTGATAAAATCCACCATGGGTTCAGCTGAAGACCTGGGGTCAGATCAGCTCACAAAACTGCCCCCCTTGGTGGAAAAACAAAATGGAAAAAAGCCCTGTGCTTACCCTTTACTGAAAAAAGCGGACACTTTGATCTACAGCCCAATATAGTTCCTCACTCAATCTGATGATGCCCATAATACTGTGGGCAGGGGATGACATCATCGTTTGGTTGGTTAGCGTTCATGGCTCTTTGAAGTGTGAATTGTGTGTGTGTGTGGTGGGGCTCTGGTTGGTGAGAGGAGAATTAGTTTGCCTGAGGGAGGCACCTCTAAAGGCCCCACTATTCAACCATGCACAAAGAGCGAGAGAGAAACACAGAGAAATGGAGAGAGAGAGAGTGTTAGATGTGCTAAAACAGAGCAGTGGGAGTTAGACAGATCTAGTGTTGGATTGGGCTTTTGTACACTCCCATAAATGAATCTCTCAGCAGTCTAAGTGGGTCAAGAGGAGCGTTTTAAACTTGAAAGAAATAATGTTTTATTATTTCCTCTCAAAGAAAAACCCTGAAAGGAGGAAAGGTTTTCATGACATCAGCCAGTCTCTGATCTCATGTCTAAGCCACGCAAGGAATGTGGATTTCTCCTGACAGGATAGCATGTGTCAAAATATGGCTGCAGCAATACACATACACACTTTTTAGAAGGCACAGGCTTAAATTCTCCTGAAAGTTATTTCTCTGTTACTCACCAAGCCACAGGCAAGGCCATTTTGTCCCCAACACAAGACCCTGGCATGCTTCCTTGTCATTTCATTAGAGCTGAAATGACCCATTCTCTTTGAGCAGATGAAAAAAGGAGGAATGGTAAAATGATGAAAAATGTAAGAGTAGGCTGTGGGCCCTCCTGAACTAAAAAGCAGGATTTGGATGAGTGATTCCCGAAAAAGAGGATGAACAGGAAAAGAGGGAAACAAATATAGAGGAAAAGACAATCAGGAAAAGGCTGATTTGCTATAGACAGCAAAGAAAGAGAGGGGAAAGACTTTTTTTAATGAAGGCACCCAGCAGTGTGTAGGAAGAAGGGCTTGACATTACCTTATTTGCTCACCAGACAATGTGGCTAGTAGTTTTTTCCACAAGTTTTTTTTCACTGGCTACACTTCAGTTGTTGGAAAATTACACTTCATAATTAATTTGACTGATTATTAAAGTGAATGAATTTCTGTCTCACTTTGAGAGCTACTACATGGGGTCCAATATACTGATAGACATGCTTTATATTTCATATCTCTTTCTTAAGTTTTAGTGTGTGCTTCTTGCACATCAGTGGTTAAAAATCAAATGCAAAGATGCAGTTGTTGGTTCAACATAGAAATTAATCCACAGGTACTTCCATATGGGCTAGCTATGATTAACTACATCTCTAAATAAACCCATCAAAGATCTTAATGATGATAGGAAACCAACTGCACCACTATCACAAAAATGCAGTCTCATATTAGCAGCAGTGCATGATATAATATAATATAATATAATATAATATAATATAATATAATAAAAACTAAATTAAACTACATAAAAGTTTTCAAATATTTAATTTTTTTTACAATTAAAGACATATTTATAACAGCTGTCATTTGTAATGACTGTTTTTTTTCTTTCAACGATCACCATATGCCATCTAAAGGAATGCAAATAATAGGAAAAGAATAGTTAAGGAGGATGAAGAGGGATGTAGAGCACAAGACAGACAGCACCTGTATGATAACTAGCCCCTCGTGATATTGACTAATTCAATCTAATTATGGTTTACAACGCACAATACCGGTGCATTAAACTCCCCAAACCTAAAACTCACAGGTCATTTATCTTCAACCGATCAATTAATGTGTGATGCTGCTGTATGATTGATGAGGTAAGCTTCAGCAGTGTGCAAGATTTAGTTCTGTTTAGTTCTTTTGTTATGCGTATCAGTAGTGACGCATGCAAGTATGCACGTGTCCACTGCTGGGGGGAACGTCTCTGTGTTTCCTATAAAGCTTCATGAATGTCAAAGCCCTAGGAATCAGGCTCAAGAAAGAAGAGTTCAGCAAAGGCATGCACGCATAGAGAAAAAGAGGAGGGAACACGCAGCCTGTGACAGATGCGATTGCGGTCGCTCTCTCGGGTTTAATATGTAGAGCGCACTGAGAGACAAACGTGTTGCATATGTAGAATTATGTGAAGCACACACAACAGCTGCTCCAAAACAAAAAACAAAAACAAAAAACTTCCTGCACATTTAGAATCACTCAGTTTTCATTTCCTACATACTCTATGGACTCTATTTTAACGATCTAAGCGCAAAGTGCAAAGCGTAATGCGCAAAATCATTAAGTGCCTGTCACAATTCACTTTTGCAACTTTTTTTTCTTTTTTTTCTTTTAAATTAAATTAGAATATGGAGAAAGGTACATAAATTGGGATCATACAA